GGGATCTATTAGATTCCCAGTGTCTCCCCTGCCCTCTGCTTCAACTGACCAAGAACAGGAGGGTACTCCGCTTTCTAGCTGGGGTTTTGACATCTCTGAACTGGAGGTGCTCATAGCTGACTGCTTCTGTTCACGGTACTGCATATGAGATTGGAGAACAGATGTTCTTGGTCTCCTCCAGCTCATCATAATGACTTTAGAAGTTGTGCTCCCAGGAGGACTTGGAGTGCCTGGTAAGTGCAGCAGCATGTGCCAGTGATGTAAGTGATTGGGCAACTCCCACAGGTTCACTCTTTGGACATGCCACACATGTCCAAAGAGCTGAACTAGTTGGAAAGAACCTGTCACTAAACAATGCTGTAACAGAGGGCTATCGGTCCCCTATGTGATAGCAATAAATTTAAGTGAAAAAAAATAAGTAAAAATGCAAACGTTGGGTGCAGCTATGCAAAACAACGATTGTGCTACCATTAATCACAGTTATCTCCTGACTGATGACCTGTATAGACTCTTAAGCGTTGAATACCAATGCGCACACACTTTGAAGGTTTGACATGTTGAGTATCTACTTGATAGATAAAAGGGGAAAAAAATGTGTGTGTGTGTATATATATATATATATATATATATATATGTGTGTGTGTGTGTATGTATATATATATATATATATATATATATATATTTATATATATATAAAGAGAGAGAGAGAGAACCCGAATTTGACAGGTACCGGCTCCGAATTGCGGTTGAATTGCCTAGGCGATCGGAAACGGAAGGTGTCCTCCCTCCTTCCCTCCCCGTAGTCTTCTGGGACACATGACAGGTCCCAGAAGACTACAGGACCATTCATGAAGCGCAGCGCTACTCGCGCATGCGCAGTGGGTACCCAGCTGTGAAGCCGCAAGCAGTCACAGCCGGGTGCCCACACTGAAGATGCCGGCCTCTAGGAATCCAGGACAGCAGGTGAATTGGGCTGCGGGGGGACACATCACGGGACCGAGGGACAGGTGAGTGGCTGTTTTTTTTAAAGTCAGCAGCTACAGTTGTTGTAGATGCTGAATTTTATTTTTTGACAGGATGAGTGGAACTCCGCTTTAACGCAAAGGCTGCATATATGCGTACCAGCATGTAAACACAGCTGTGCCGAGAGTGTACCCCCTGCACGCTTCTGGCACAGTTACCGGTGGCTAATGGAAAGCTCCTGATCTATACTTGTGATGCAGAGCTTTCCGGTCATGTGACCACTTTGAGAGCCACTTGATCAGAAACCCCTTAAAGGGTCGGGAGCTGCCAGCTTTAAGTTATTAAAAATGCAAGCTTATGGGATCCCTTTGTCAGTCCATTTACATTCCTAAACAAAGGTTCTGAGACCCACATATTTATGCACAGCAAGTGCAATGAAATGTACACATTTACTTTTTTTTTTTCTTGACACACTTCAGTGGTACCACTATAACAATACAACATTCTGCTTTGTTGCAGCCAAATTTGAGAAACATCTGCTATGTTTTTGAGCTACAATTCTCAAAGCATGCTTAAAATGATTTTCTTATCTTTCTTTGTGTTTCTTTAGAGCAGGTTTATGCATAGAACCCTTTTGGGCAGCCTATATTATTCAGAATATCAAGTAGTGTGCAATTGGGAGACAGATGTAGGGAGAGGACAAGTGTGATATGTGTTTTATATCGCACAGCTATCCCCCCCATTTTTTTTTTTTTTTAAACTTCATGTGAAGTGCACAAAGTGTGTTGCGCTTGGCGATGGGATGACATGCAGGGCCATCCAGTAAGGTGCAATTTTATGCAAACATGTTACATGATTGTACATTGCTGGAAAGCAGAGAAACACAGTGCTCTGGTGTGAACATGATTATGTGTGTGTGTATACACACACACATAGTATCTTTCAGAAGTGAGTACACCCCTCACATTTTTGTAAATATTTTATTATATCTTTTCATGTGACAACACTGACGAAATGGCACTTTGCTACAATGTAAAGTAATGAGTGTACAGCTTGTATAACAGTCTAAATTTGCTGTCTCCTCAAAATAACTCAGCACACAGCCATTAATGTCTAAACTGCTGGCAACAAAAGTGAGTACATCGCCAAGTGAACATGTCCAAATTGGGCCCAAAGTGTCAATATTTTGTGTGGCCACCATTATTTTCCAGCACTGCCTTAACCCTCTTGGGCATTGAGTTCACCAGAGCTCACAGGTTGCCACTGGAGTCCTCTTCCACTCCTCCATGACGACATCACGGAGATAGTGGATGTTAGAGACCTTGCACTCCTCCACCTTCCGTTTGAGGATGCCCCACAGATGCTCAGTAGGGTTTAGGTCTGGAGGCATGCTTGGTCAGTCCATCACCTTCACCCTCAGCTTCTTTAGCAAGGCAGTGTTCATGTTGGAAGTGTGTTTGGGGTCGTTATTATGTTGGAATACTGCCCTGCGGCCCAGTCTCCGAAGGGAGGGGATCATGCTCTGCTTCAGCGTGTCACAGTACATCTTGGCATTCATGGTTCCTTCAATGAACTGTAGCTCCCCAGTGTCGGAAGCACTCATGCAGCCCCAGACCATGACACTCCCACCACCATGCTTGACTGTAGGCAAGACACACTTGTCTTTGCACTCCTCACCTGGTTGCCGCCACACACGCTTGACACCATCTGAACCAAATAAGTTTATCTTGGTCTCATCAGACCACAGGACATGGTTCCAGTAATCCAAGTCCTTAGTCTGCTTGTCTCCAGCAAACTGTTTGCGGGCTTTCTTGTGCATCATCTTTAGAAGAGGCTTCCTTCTGGGATGACAGCCATGCAGACCAGTTTGATGCAGTGTGCGGCATATGGTCTGAGCACTTACAGGCTGATCAACCCACACACACACACCTACACCTTCACCTTCAACCTCTGCAGCAATGCTGGCAGCACTCATACATCTATTTCCCAAAGACAACCTCTGGATATGACGGTGAGCAGGTGCACTCAACTTCTTTGGTCGACCATGGCGAGGTCTGTTCTGAGTGGAACCTGTCCTGTTAAACCGCTGTATGGTCTTGGCCACCGTGCTGCAGCTCAGTTTCTGGGTCTTGACAATCTTCTTATAGCCTAGGCCATCTTTATGGCCATCTTTTTTTCAGATCTTTGCCATGAGGTGCCATGTTGAACTTCCAGTGACCAGTATGAAAGAGTGAGAGCGATAACACCAAATTTAACACACCTGCTCCCCATTCACACCTGAGACCTTGTAACACTAAGGAGTCACATGACACCGAGGAGGGAAAATGGCTAATTGGGCCCAATTTGGACATTTTCACTTGGGGGTGTACTCACTTTTGTTGCCAGCGGTTTAGACATTAATGGCTGTGTGTTGAGTTATTTTGAGGAGACAGCAAATATACACTGTTTTACAAGCTGTACACTCACTACTTTACATTGTAGCAAAGTGTCACTTCTTCAGTGTTGTCACATGAAAAGATACAATAGGACAAATTCACACTAATTGGAGAACTGCTGCAGCGACAGCTCTCCATTGCCGGCTGATAGGGGGCAGTGTGGTATGCAATTCATCGCACTATCATCCCTTTTTTCTTTCTCCTCTCCCTGCAAGAGCTTTATTTGAAGTGTACAAAATGTACACTTCTTTCACTCAAATGAAGGGCGGCTTACTGCCTGCCATTGCAGTACGATTCCGGCCAGTGTGCTGCAATAAAACGCAACTAGGCTGTGTTGCATTGTGAATGGCATACATTGGAAACAATGGTTTCATGTATGTCCAGCAGTGACAGGCGTTTTAGCATGCAGTAAAACCTGGCACCGCACATAGTGTGAATTGGCTTTTTAATCTTGACCAAACAGGGTTTTATAGAGCCGCCTACAGGAGTAGAACACTAGGCAGAAAAAAAAACTTGGTACCACCTATGGGCAGTCCTCTCTAGGCATATAAAAACCCCCTCTCTGTACCAGGGTGGTTAGTGCCTCCTGGGCATTTCTGACATCCGGCGTCTTTCTCACACAGCAATCTTGTCATCTGCACGCTTACTAAATTTTCCAGGGCTGGTGTTTTGGCTTCCGCAGATGCTTGCTTTGGTTGCCGAGTTCTGCTGGCTACTGTTTAGGGTTTTCTGGGGCCCCTTCTGGGTTATTTGGAATGTTGACGTGTCTGCCTGGTTGTTCCCTGGGTTCTTTTTCCCAACCCTCATTGTGGCACTGCTCACTGCTTTGAGACATCCCTGTTTGATCAAGACTAAGGAGAGGCTGTGTCCACCAAAGATTGGTGTTACCAAAAATCCCTTTTACATGGACACCCTTTATTGGAGTTTTTATTTCTTACACTGCTTGTAACTGTCTTTGCAGTCAGCAGAGATCGGGTTTTGTTTTTTTTTGCGCCCAGAGAGGTCTGCCCATAGGAGGGGCCGAGGTGTTTTGTTTTTTTTTTTTTTCTGCCTAGTGTCCTACTCCTGTTGGTGGCTCTATAAAACTCTGTTTTTTCAAGACTAAAGAAGAGAAGCTATGTCTGTCACTGAACAGTGATCAATAAAATCTTGTTTTTGTATACAGCTATGTACATGCATATCATATAGCTCAGAGGTGCTCGTTCTATTCTTTAGCAACACAGGGGACAGTTAAAGGGTTGGACCACTTAAAACCAGTTATGCGCAGCTCAGTATTTAAAACTGTGACCAACTTGATCAGTCTTATGCATGAAATATACTTAAGGAGAACAAGAGAAGGCAGCTTGCAGTGTCAGAGTTATCTAATGTAACATTCCATTTTTGCATCTATTCGATATTCTTGGTACATATTTTTTCTTTGAGTTACTTGGATTGACGCATGCACTGGGCCATGAATGGTTGCCTGTTAAAATTACTTCTATCTGGGAACTGTCATGAGTTTCTGCTGTGCATTTATTGGAAAAAGAAATATAACATTTATTTGAGCAACACCTTTTGAATGTGCCTTTTTAATTACGTCTTGATTTGTGTTTTCTTCCCCAGGATCTTTCTGGTTCCATTGATGATCTCCCTATGGGTGCTGAGGGTGCTCTTAGTCCAGGTGTCAGCACTTCAGGAATTTCCAGCAGTCAGGGCGAGCAAAGCAACCCAGCCCAGTCTCCATTCTCTCCTCATACATCACCCCACCTTCCTGGTATTAGAGGACCTTCACCCTCCCCAGTAGGCTCTCCAGCCAGTGTTGCACCATCTCGATCTGGCCCTCTCTCCCCAACCTCTGTTCCAGGTAAGAAATCATATATGTTCTGTTACATGTTATCGCCAGTCTGTCGTCATAAAAATTCTAGTTGGCTCCTGTTGATAAATAACTGAATGTGAAGTTTTATTGTTGATCTCCACTCTGGTTGTCTTAAATATTCAAGTCAAAATTTGGTGTGTTATGGATGCTTATTTTAATTTAAATGTTGTAATTATCAGGGACTCAGATGCCTCCACGTCCTCCTAGTGGTCAGTCAGATGGTTTGATTCACCCTACCATGAACCAGGCTGGGCTTGGGCAAGAGAGAGGTAAGAGCAGTTATGGGTAGAAAAGGAGAGCTGGTTTAAAAACAATCTCCACCTCAATGTCTCATGTTTAATGACATGCTTGTTTTTCAACAGGGTACATGCAGAGGAATGCACAAATACCTCAGTACGGATCCCCACAGCCTGGTCCGGCACTTTCACCACGCCAGTCCACGGGGACACAGATGCATGCTGGGATGGGACCCTATCAACAAAATTCTATGGGGAGCTATGGACCTCAGGGAGGCCAGTATGGTCCCCAGGGTGTGTAATCAATTTTGACCCAAATGTCTCATAACTATCCAAATGTAAAAAAGTGTTCACTTAATCATATCATAGTTCATATTCATGACTATTTGGGTTATTCTGCCACCTCCCAGTTGAATGGGCACATCTCTCTCTTCCAGCTCAGCTAAAGCAGTATTAAACCCAAAAGCAAACATATTGCAACTTACCAATTCTTAGACATGATGGCTGTATTCATTTTCTTTTAGGTTTTCTTTCTTCTACTTTCATCTGGTGATCTGGCCAGCAAATCTGTTTTATAAAAGTTTGAACGCTCCTGAAAAATGTATGTTTACAGGGATTAGACAGACCATTTACCACTAGCAGAGATGGTTGAAATAATCAGTTTTTATTTATTAAAGTAAAACCTTTATCCCAAAAGGGGAAAAAAAAACTTGGCAAGTGGTGTCTAACTAATACATGGTGTTACTAGTCAGATCACCAGGTGAAAATGGGGGGGGGGGGGAGCCAAAGAAAAGAAAACTCATGCAGCCACCACATCTAATAATTAGTAAGCAATATATTACATTTTTGGGGTAATACTGCCTAGCTACTTTTTAGCTAGTGTTTTATTATGTAATAATGGATTTGCCTACAAACATGTCTGTGAAGATTTTCCTTGTAAGGGCTTGGTCCTAATTCTCTGGCCTGTCCCTAACTCCCCTGGTGCTGTGTAAAAAAAAAAAAAAAAAAAAAAAAGTTCTTCGTCTGGATTGGTCACTATGGCCAGTTGGCCAAGAGGACTGTATAGGACACCACATACAAAAGCAAGAATAGCCTATAATGTCTGCCAGTCGGTGCTGGATTCCATGGGCAGCAACTCCTTGGGGTTTGTGTGCTCGAACCTAGCTGTTTAGGTTATTATTATTATACAGTATTAATATAGCGCCAACGGTTTGCTCAGCGCTTTACAATATAGTGGGAGACAATACAGTAACAATACAGTTCAATACAAGAGGGATTTGAAAGTCCTGCTCCTTGGAGCTTACAATCTAGGAGGGAGGGGTGAATGGTACAGTAGGTAGTCACTGTGGGGGATGGAGTGGTTGGAAGAGTAGAGGATTCCAGAATTAGCAGAGGGCGGGATAGGCTTCCCTGAAGAGAAAGGTTTTCAATGATCGCCGAAAGGCAAGCAGAGTAGGTGATAGTCTGATAGATTGGGGTAGGGAGTTGCAAAGGATGGGTGACGCCCTGGAGAAGTCTTGGAGACAAGCATGGGAGGAGGAGATAAGGGAGCTAAAGAGTAAGCGGTCTTGCGAGGAGCGGAGTGTACGGTTTGGGTGATATTTAGAGATAAGATCGGTTATGTAAGTTGGGGCAGTGTTGTGGATGGCTTTATATGTCATTGTTAGAGTTTTGAATTTTATCCGTTGGGCAACTGGGAGCCAGTGGAGGGATTGGGAGAGAGGGGTGGCGGATACAGAACGGTTAGTGAGGTGGATGAGTCTGGCAGCAGCTTTCATGATAGACTGGAGGGGGGATAGCCTGCGATGAGGTAGGCCTAGGGGGAGGGAGTTACAGTAGTCGAGGCGTGATATGACAAGGGAGTGAATAAGTTGCTTAGTGGTTTCTGGGGTTAGGAACGGTCGTATCTTGGAGATGTTGCGTAGGTGAAGTCTACATGATTTTGTCAGCGATTGGATCTGGGGCTGGAAAGACAGATGGGAGTCTAGGATTACAGCTAGTACCCTGGCGTGAGGGGATGGACTGAGGATGGTGTTAGCGATGTTTATGGTGAAGTCAGTGGGGGGGTGGCGCGGGCAAGGGAGAATACTAGGATCTCAGTTTTGGAAAGGTTGAGTTTGAGGAAGTGAAGTGACATCCAAGCCGATATGTCGCTTAGTAGGTTAGCGATGCGAGTGGAAACTGAGGGGGTGAGGTGAGGGGTAGAGCGATAGATTTGTGTGTCATCAGCATAGAGATGGTAATTGAAGCTGTGGGAGCTTATCAAGTGACCAAGGGAGGAGGTGCAGATGGAGAAGAGAAGGGGTCCAGGGACAGAACCTTGGGGGACCCCTACAGAGAGAGGGAGTGAGGAGGAGTGGCAGCATTATAGGTGACACTGAAGGAGCGCTGCGATAGATAGGAGGAGAACCAGGAGAGAGTGGAATCGCTGAGGCCAAAAGAGTGTCGTTTTTTGAGGAGGAGGGGATGGTCAACTGTGTCAAAAGCCACGGAGAGGTCGAGTAGTAGGAGTATTGAATAGTGGCCGTTGGTTTTTTTGCCGTTAGTAGGTCATTAGAGAGCTTTAGTAGGGCAGTTTCAGTGGAGTGTAGGTGGCGAAAGCCAGACTGTAAGGGGTCGAGTAGGTTGTTGTCAGTGTGGTGGGAGCTCAGACGATTGTAGACTAAGCGTTCTAGGAGTTTAGAGGTAAATGGCAGCAGGGAGATGGGTCTAAGGTTGTTCAGGTTGGTGGGGTCTAGGGAGGGTTTTTTAAGTATGGGAGTGATGTGCACGTGCTTTAGAGTGGAGAGGAATGCACCTGTAGAGAGGGAGAGATTGAAGATGTGAGTGAGAGAGCATAGGATGGAAGAGGAGGGTGACCGAAGGACTTGTGAGGGGACAGGGTCCAGGGGGCAGGTGGTGAGGCGGGCTTCTGAGAAGACCTTAAGGACCTCTTCGGTGGTAGCGAGGTCAAAGGAGGACAGTGTTGAGGGGGAGGTATGGTGTGAGGAATGCTAAGTGGGGTGGGTGTCTGTGTAGTGGTGATGTCCCTACGAATTGTGTCGATCTTGTTTTGGAAGTGGTGTGCAATCTCGTGGGCAGTGAGTGAGGCGCTGGGTGGCGGTGGGGGTGGAGAAAGTAGAGAGTTAAAGGTAGAGAAGAGCCAACGAGGACTCGAAGAGAAGGTATTGATGAGGGTGACAAAGTAAGCTTATTTGGCAGCGTGAAGGGAGGAAGTGTATGTTAGGAAGGCAGATTTATAACGGGTGAACTCTTGGTGGGATTTGGTTTTATGCCATAATCGCTCCAGCGCGCGACTGTGTCGTTTGGGATTTCGGGTGTGGTCAGTCTCCCAAGGTTGAAGAGGTCGGGGCCTGATGCTTCGTGTTGTTAGTGGAGCAAGCGAGTCTAGAGCGGATGAGAGAGAGTTGTTGTAGACAGCAGTGGCCAGGTCAGGGCAGGACGGGGTTGATGTTGTCGTAGAGCTGGTCAGTTGCAGAGTGGAAGGGAGCCGGGTTTAGGTTTCGGAGATTTCTGCTGGTAATTGTCTGTTTAGTGGGGTAGGTGTTAGAGGAGGAGGAGACTGTGAAGGTGATGAGATTGTGATCAGAGAGGGGAAATGGGGTGTTTGAGAGGTTATAGGGGGTACAGTGGTGAGAGAAGACAAGGTCTAAGGTATTCCAGTCGGAGTGAGTGGAGGACTGTATACACTGCGCTAGTTCAAAAGAAGAGGTTATGTGGAGGAGTTGGGATGTAGCCGGGTTATTGACGTTAATAGGGATGTTGAAGTCTCCGAGGATGAAAGTGGGTAGCTCGGAGGAGAGAAAGTAGGGTAGCCAGGCGGCGAAGTCATCGAGAAAGCAGGACATGGGTCCAGGAGGCCGGTAGATCACTGCAATCCTCAGAGAGATTGGAGAGAATAGCCGGATGCAGTTGGTCTCGAAAGAAGAGAAGGATAGAGAGGGAGGATTAGGGAGGACTTGAAAGGTGCTCATTGGTGACAAGTAGACCAACCCCGCCTCTTTTCCGACCACTGGGCCTGGGTGAGTGGGTCAAGATGAGGCCTCTGTAGGAGAGTGCTGCGGGGGAGACAGTATCTGCTGCTTGGAGCCAGGTTTCGGTGAGGGCAAGAAGGTTAAGAGAGCGGGAGACAAAAGAGGTCGTGGATGGAGGTGAGTTTATTGCAGACCGAACGGGCGTTCCAGAGTGCACATGAAAACGGGAGGGTGGTTGTGGGGAGCAAGGGGACAGATATAAGATTGAGGGGATTGCGGTAATTCCCGCGGTAAAGAGGATGTCTTGTGTGTGGGCGAAGTAGAGGAGGACCAGGGTTCGGGGAGATATCCCCAGAGGTTAGGAGGAGAAGAAGGGTGAGGAAGGTGGCATGTGAGCGGGATGTATATGGGCGCATATGCCTTCTCTACAGGTCCAGGGTAGTGATCTCTGTGGAGGGGGTTCAAATCCTTGAAGGCTGTGCCGGATATGTGTGCCATAATAGGTGAAGATTGAGCCTGCTGCCGCTCCAGTTATGCACTGGTTGGTCTCTCTGATGTAATAAAGTGTGTGGCAATCCCCCCGGCAATGCTTCCATGTATGTTTAGGCATTTTTTTCCTCGGTGGGAGCAACAAATGGCAGAGCACAAAAGGGTAGTGCACATATGCAGGTGCCATTTTCACAGAGTCACGGGCATAGTACTTGCGTTTTTTTGACCTCCTGGTCCTGCACAACTTTGGGACACTTTGTTAATTTTGATTCCTTCAGCACAGCAAGAATTGGGACACTTGTCTGCTAGGGGTGACTTGCTTGCATAGGTGGTGTTAAGCGTTCTGGGGTTCACAGGCCTTTTTAACCTTTGGCAAGGCAGGGTGGTGGGGAGGAAGACTGATGTGGTGAGCTTCCAAATCCCCTTATCAGGTAGGGGCAACCCTCTGCAAAGTTGACCCTGCACTGATTTCCCAAAAGGTCACATTACTTCTGAATTCCTCCCCTTTTCTGGTATTTCCACTATTTCAGGGGAAAATCCTCCACCACTTTGTCAAGGGAGTATTTTTCTGGAGCCATTTCTGGGCTGATCAGCTTTCAGGTTCTCACTGGCTTGAAACACCTGTGAAAAAAAATGGATGCTCTCCTTTCTTCCTCCCCCCCTTTTGAGAAAGGATAAGGTGTCTGAGGAAATTCCTCAGGATGAGAAAGAGGAGAAAGCTGCTGTGGGCGATTCCTCCTAGGATGATGTCCAGAGCTGTCTCACACACAGAACACATTGGGCTTCCTGGCTGACGTGTGTGTTAAAGTTTAAAACAGGGTTATGTTTGCAAAGCTTATACTGCAAGGTGAATATTTTCCAAACTTGGTGCTAAATTTCAACCACTCAGAGCTTGATCTCTGGTGGATGACCAAGTGTTGCATCGAACCACTGATTGCACGCACAATTTACTTCCACTTCCCCCTAGAACCTTTCATAAGGTACTCTTGCACTTCCTTCCACCTATTTGCTATGAAGATTTGTTACAGGATGGTCTACATGTGGATTACCACGTCGTACTTCTGGACATGGACCATATTTTGTAAGTAATTCTAAGGGGAATGCCCTCACTTATAGCTATGGCAATGCAAAATCACATAAAGAAAAATCCATTGTACCATACACGAGCAGCATGTGAGGATCCACCCTCCAACACAACCAGCATGTGAGGATCCTTCCTTGAACACAATGCTGAGCCAGTTCCTTTGTGTTTTGTCTTTTGCATGACCATCTGAGAGACGTTCACATAGGAGGAAGGAATTTGGCTGTATTCCATCATTAGCTCTCTTACACCAATTAACTATCCATCGGTGCTAAGCCATTGGGATACCCTGGAACAAGGGAGATTGTGGTGAAGTGGAGGAGGCGATTGTTGTCGAGTATGCACTGCACAGCCATCCAAAGCAGTGTGCTGACAGTGAAGCACACGGACACAGCACATAGTAAACCCGCAGTTAACCCTTTGATCACCCCTCATGTGAACCCCTTCCTGCCCAGTGCCATTAGTACAGTGTTGGTGCTTTTTATTAGCACTGATCACTGTATTGGTGTCACTGGGGATGTCAGTGACACCAAGTCCGTTCCCCCCAGTGTCAGAATGCCCTCCGCAGTCCAACTATAAGTCGCTGATCGCCGCCATTACTAGTAAAAATTAAAATTAACAAAAAAATACAGTATACAGTGTATACCGCCATTTGTAAACGCTATAACTATCATGTAAACCAATTAACTTACACGTATTGGGATTTTTTTTTTTTTTAGCAAAGATATTTAGCAGAATACATTTTGGCTTTTTTTTTTTTTTTTTTTTTTAAATTTACTGGACATGTTTAATAGCAGAAAGTCAAAAATATTGTTTTGTTTTTCTTTCCTCAAAAACATTGTCGCTTTTCTTTTTTTAGTGGAAAAAAAATAAAAACCGCACAGGTGATCAAATACCACCAAAAGAAAACTCAATGTGTGGGGGAAAAAAAGGACTTACATTTCATTTGGGTGCAGTGTTGCATGACCGCGCAATTGCCAAAGTAACACATCGACGTAACGCAAAAAATAGCCTGGTCAGGAAGGGGGGTAAATCCTCTGGAGGGCAAGTGGATAAGGCACACTGCTTTTCATATTCATGACTTGTGCATTATACTGCCTAGTACTGGAGATGGGACACCTGGCAAAGACAAAGAATTAGGCCAGCCTCTGGTGCCCAATATCACTCCTCTAACTGTCCTACTATGTTTCACTTGGTGTCCTCAAGGAGGTTGGATGTCTTTTCTGGCTTGCTAAAACTTTGGGCTCATTCATATGGGTGCAGAGACCCGTACAGCATGCAAATGTTGCTGTGTTGATGCTCCCCAGATGTTTTGTACAGTTGTTTCCATCAACGTGTTAAACATCAATGGCAGGGTAGTAGACGCAGTGGCTGTATGATTTTTACCACACATCTGACCGTGTACATCTGTAGGGATAGATGCAAATACTTGAGTGTGTTGAAGGATCTTTATAGCTGAAGCATATGTCAGCATATGCCATGTCATTGATTAAGGTTAGGTTCACATCTGTGTGGGTGGTGCAGCGGCACCACCCGCACAGAGGAATGCGGACTCCCGGGCACGAGGTTCCCATGCGGGCTGCGTTTTCAGAAGAAGTGCAGGGACTTCTTCCCTGTGTCATGGGGCATGGGAGTCCATTCAAATGAATGGGCTCCCATGCCCACGCAAAACGCGGACTGCATGGCCGCATATATGTGAACCAGGGCTTACAGGCTTTTAGCTATGGCAGCACAGATCACCTGTCATTCCCAGGCACATAAACACAATTCTGCACATTGTAAGGGCCTCTGTGATCAACTTTTTTTGGTCAGCTGTTACTAGTAGATTCAGATTGGATCTTAAATTCTAGACGTCTCTACAGTCACTATCAATACATGCTTTCGCTCAACCCCTGTGCTAACATACACTTTTGAAGCCCTCCATAATTATGGGCGATTTGCGGTTCAACTATTCACACAGCAGATTTTCCTTATACCAAACTCTCATTATGCACTCACTGTGCACCAGACTGTTAAAGTGGATACATTTAAATTCCATATAACTTGCAGTACCTTAAAGATATTTTGATAATCATCCTGTTCAAAACTCCTGCCACCTCTCCATGTTTATCTGTGTGGTTGCTGTTGTGCAGATCTTCCTGGTTTCAAGCTTTATAATCTTCCACCGAACACAGGTTTTGCCAAACTATATAATGATTATTTCACTGCAACCGCTCTGTCTCAGACAAACCTGCTGGAAAATTTTCTTCTGAGTGCTTGGTTAGCTCTATGATTTTTTTACACTGGCTGTCTGTACCCGTGGTGTTTTATGTTCTCTCCATCAAACTCTTGACTGAAGACTGCAGCCTTTGGCACTTGGTGCAAACTACCTTACAGTGAGTTTTCTTCTGCCATGGAGAGATTTCACTTTCATCTTTCATTGTTGCTGCAGCATCTTGTTTTTGGGGGCCATTAGTACCATATGCCTACTTCACTGATTGGGTATTGGACAGTCTGATGGTCTCCGGATTCCTCTGTGGAATGGGTCTCGAAGGCAGAGTCCTTGTTCTGAGTTCAATCCCCGGCTTGACAGCCCAATCAGGAGGAGATGTTTTCCTCTTGAGTCAGTCTGGGACACCTTGCACCTTCAGTCCCCTACACCAGTGAAGAATTGGCTGAATAATCATGCAAGTTTTCTCAATATACCTTGTTTAATGATTTAATCTACAAGGATTTGGTGCAGCTTGACTATTACAGCTGTCACAATAGTACACAATAATGGCATCTGAATGGATGCCATTCACAAAGCCAAAATGATTACTTGTACAGAACTTCTGGTTGAATTGCCTAGGCGAATCCAGCGGAAGTCGGAGTGGGTATCTGCCAAAAAAACTGCGAATGTTGAATCACATTTTAAGTCTTTTTTCACAAGCACAACCCAACTTGTCTAGCCAGCTTGATTAAGGGCCATCCTTGGAAGATGGCCCTGTGCAGGCTCACTGGTCAGAAAGGGACAGCTTGGATATCTCTCTCTAGGTTTGTGTGTTCAAATTTTTACTTGCTGTTCCAGAGTTTCACGTGAAGTGTAAACAAGTACACCAGTTGGTCTTTTTATTTCCCTCTGGTTCCCTTCTCAATATATCACCATCTGTTAGTTGTAACATGTACCAATAAATTGTATAACTAAAAAAAAGCACACAAGTGCAAGGCAGGCAAGATCTTGCAAGAAGACACCCAAGTCAATTGCAAGGATGTCTTCTCACAAGATGTCTTCTGCTCTGTATTGTTGAGGTTCTAAACCAAAGGCGTTCAATCACCAACCAAATAGTCCAGGTGCTGGGTACAACCTTCCATAGATATGCAAAAGGCCCAAAACAAAAGACCCCTCTATATAATCATGGCAATGCAGATATGATAAAGTGGTAATGTGTTATGTAATTTTATACAAACCTTTTTCAATTATTGCATCGTTTTGTTGTAGGTGATTATTCCTTGAATTTGTCATTTTGTTCTGTTTTTTTTTTTTTTTTTTCTTTAGCATGTGTTTACTAAATGTCTCTTCCAAATAGGAGGGTATCCCCGACAGCCAAATTACAATGCTATGCCTAATGCAGGATATTCTGGAGGTGGCATGGCCCCACTTGTTACAGGTGGACAAATGCATGGGCAGGGAGGAATGCCACAGTATGGAGGACGTATGGGTCATTCTGCAATGGGCAACCGCCAATATGGGCCAAACATGGGAAGCATGCCACCCCAAGTTGGATCTGGAATGTGTCCTCCACCTGGCGGTATGAATCGCAAAGCACAAGATACTGCTGGTATGCATGGCACTGCAAATTCCATACAAAACAGGTAAGAAAGTTTTGACATTTAAAGTATGTACTAATTATGCCTGATTTAGTTTAGAGCAAATATTAAGGTTTCATTTACATCTAGGTATTTTTTATTGTGGACAGAATTGCCATGGTTCTGCCCGTGATCCCAAAACGCTCTACAAAACTGACAAATCTCACCAGGCTAGTTCCTGATCGCTAGTTCAGGAACTAGCCTGGCTAGTAGCCTGAATGGCACCTGTTCCATTCATTTTCAATGGCACCTAAAATGGTGTGATTCTGCTGCGATTATCGCATGAAGCTTATCACCCGGAAAATAATTTTCCGCTCTTTTTTTGGGCAACAAGCTTTGCGTGATGCGTTTTGTAGTGATTGTTGCGCGATTTATCTTGCGACAGTCGTGTCAAGAATCACACTTGTGTTTAGGTGCCATTGGAAATGACTGGCACCTGAACAAGCTTGGTGCGATTTGTCAGTTTTGCAGAGCGTTTTGAGACCGCAGGCAGAATCGCAGCGATTCTGCCCGTGCTACAAAATGCCTAGATGTGAACAGAGCCAAAATCAAATGGTTATTTGGTTTGGTCAAAAACAGCTTTCACCTTTTTAAATTACTTTTAATTCTTACTATAATTTGTAGGTCTCCAGGATATCCCAGCATGAACCAGGGTGGGATGATGGGAGCAGGACCACCATATGGCCAGGGAATGAATAGCATGGCGGCAATGATGAATACACAGGGACCTCCATATATGGGAGGCAATATGGCCAACAACTCAGGTGAGTTATCGTTCCATTGTCAGAAATGTTAGTATTGTACTGTGACTGTGTTGTAGCTAAAATGAACCCCTTTGTTTCTAACGGCTAAGCTGAGGCATGTTAATGTGTATCTTTCAGGCATGGCTGGCAGCCCAGAGCTTATGGGACTTTCTGATGTTAAGTTGACTCAGACTCCGAAAATGAACAACAAAGCAGATGGGACACCTAAAACAGAGACCAAATCAAAGGTACTTTGCAAGTTTTAAGATATTCTTAATAAAGAAAATTTAGCAAGATCTGGTTCCACTGATTGCATTTTCAGCTCTGAAACTTTGGAACTGTTGTGTCCAATTAAAAGGTGTACAAAATTAAATATTTAAATTTTTGAACATTTAGAGCAAAGATACAGTAGCCAGTGATACGATTTGAAACCTAACTTCCTGATCTCTTCCAGCTCTCATCAGCACTCGCAGCTTGGGTTTGTGAGTACCTGAGACCTTGCCCCACCCTTGGGGCTAGTTGCATTGCCACTGCAGTATATAGACAAGAGTGTACAGGCCTGCAGCTACGGGTGGCTCCAGCCTTTACTCATAATGGTTCTGGGAGGGGGATGGCGCAGGGCCTTTTTTTGATATAAGATACCAGTACCTGAAATCTGGATTCCAGCAGACTTGTCGTATAGGGTCTGCCTTATCAGTTTGTCCTTCAGCTCTGTCAGTTGAGACTGAGTTCTCTATCCTTGCAGAGGGACCTCCACTACAGTCACTCTAGACTGCTCAGATTCCCCCAGTTGCTTACTTATACTCACTGCAAAGGTTTTAAACGTAAGCCAGCGTCACCCCATCACTGTCTAGCTCTGAACTTCTAGTGGCTTTAGGCAGTTTAGACTCTGAATCAGAGGGTCGCAGTGACTGTCATCCTGGCTTGTTCAGACTCAGAAGACACTGGCCGGTATCATAACTGATCATATGTGCAGCACCATGGCAACTGCAAATCAGAGGCTATAATGACATCTTCATTGGCTGTAGAGAATAGGAGAGTTGAGTTCCAGGAAAAGCACTTGGCAGGTAGAAGGTGTGTTCACTCGTAAGGAGGAAACCAAACTGCTGAGCAGCAGAATCCTTAACTACTTAAGCTCCTTGGACAGGAACCTGGGACTACATCTACTGGCTTGAGGAGGCCAAGTCAGAGGAGACATATGTAGTACATCTGTTCCCCAATTTCCTCTGCATGGAATGAAACTGGAAGCGACGATTGTGGAACTTCTGGCTTCAGGGCAGTCATTCCCTGGCTGATACAGCCATGGAAGCATGTAACCAAGCAGATCTGTGCTCGTTTAGATGCTTTGGAGGGCAGGGGAGACCCCCCCCCCCCCCCCCCCCCCCCCCCCCCCCCCCCCCCCCCCCAAAAAAAAAAAAAAAAATTATAGATAAGGGATTCAATTATAGATAGAGCAAGTAAGTATAAACCTGTTCATTATTTTAAAAAAGAGCAATTTCAGTAACTTAAACTGTGTATATAAAGTGGCCGGGTGGGACAAGCTTCAATCCAGGAGAATGCCTGCTTGCAGGCGACCTGATCTGTGATCCTCTGACACAGCGGATCAAAAATGGTTCTGGAAACTGTATATAGCAGTGATCATGTACAGTGAGTGGCTGGTCTAATATCCACTGTGTTTCAGTGCCACCAGCCATTGTCTCTGATGACCAGCACAGCAGTACAGTGCCAAAAGGCCACACCAGTCAGTATCCTTAATCACTGCCCCACCAGTCAGTGTCCTTGATCACTACCACAGCAATCCGTGTCACCATAAAGATTGGCTTACATGTACAATGCTCACTGAAGAGCGATTGGTGTTTAGATTGCTCTTCAGAGAGCATATAGCAGGCAGTGTGGAGGCAATGTATCGTTTCTTCACCACCTGCTGTAATCCCTTGGACACCATATAAGCACCCTCAATTCACTTGGACAGGTCAGGATAGGCAGGCGTACAGAGGATATAGTTCAAAGCATCACAGCCGCGGCATGTACATACACCTAGTCTCTGCAGCTAAAAGGGGTAGCAGTTGAGAAGTGGCTCAACTGCAAGGTTTTAACACCCCCCTTCCCCTCAGAAGCCACATGTGAACCCAAATAATGTATCCGGTTAGTGAGTCTGTTCACCCCCATATCAGTCAGTCAGTGTTACCAGACCACTGTAGCTGGAATCCGTGTTCTTGATTGCCATCAGACCAGTGCAACCAGCTATTTTTCCTGATCACCGCCACTCCAGACCCTTTGTCACCAGACCAGTGTAAGCCAGCAACAGTGTTCTTGATAACTGCCACACCAGTGCAGTGTTGCGCCTGTGGTCTGAACTGACCCAGCTACACTTCTGACTAGCTACGTTCCTGTGAGACACCAGTTCCAGCTATCCCCTATGGACACCTGCACTCCTGGAACAGGAACTCTCTTGTTCTTCCTTTCTTCAGCTTTCTGTACTTCCTGACTAATGAAAATGGCATTTCTAGGTCCAGCCACATACCAGTTGGCTAGGCTTGCTTGGCTTATAGGAACCAAGACTACTATAGGTGACACTAGACACAAGATACAATGTTCAGCACATAATCCGTCCACACAGTGAAAGTCTGTCATGTTGTATCGCCATACACAAAAGGAGTAGCAGAATTTGCTTTGGATTGTAATTCTAAGTATGGCCAATGATGGTTGATTTATTTGAGAACTTTTTGTAAAGAAAAAAAAAAAATTCGCATTTTCCAAAAACTTCAGAAGACTCCCTGTCTGTAATTTTATGCCCTTGGAATGCCTGAAGGTGCTCCTTGGATTTTGAGACCCTTTATTTGGCTTATCTGTAAATATTCTCAAATATGGTATTGCCACACTCGGGAGGAGCAGCAGGATGTGTTTTGGGGGCGAGTTCCAAGTATGCCTGAGATGTGTGTTACAAATATTTTAATTGACAACATTGAGTAAAAAATATTTTCTTTCCTGCATTTTCCAAAAACTTGTGGCAAAAATGACATTTTCAAGAGACTCACTATGCCTTACAATAAATACCTTGGGGTGTTTTCCAAAATATGACCATATTTGTGGTTATTTTCCAGTCCTGGCACTTCAGAGACTTAAGAAAAATAAGTAGTCAGGAAATTAGACGACTAATGTTATACTCCTTGAAAGCCTTTCTATGCACCTGGACTGTGAAAGTCACACGTGGTATTCCCATACCTGGGAGGCATAGAAGAATGTGGTTTGGGGTGTAATAGCAAGTATGCTGCTAGGAAATATGTTAAAATAAATTTGTAAACAATTTTTTTTTTTTTTTCATTTTTCTAAAAAAAAAAAAAATAAAAGAAATTACAAATGGAGAAAGCTCACCATGCTTCTTACTAAATACTTCAGACTGTCTGCTTTCCAAAAAGAGTCAATTTTGGCATTTTGAAGCCTCAAGAAACGAGATAGTCAGTCAATACAACAGGACTGATGAGTTTTCAATTATTTATACGATGTAGACTCGTACATACCATGTTTTTAGACTCTATAACTTTCACACAGACTGAATTGCAGTTTTAGTAAAGAAATGTAGCAGAATACATCTTTGGTCTAAATTCTGCAGATTTGCAAAATTGTTTGACAACTAAAACTAAAAAGTTTACAAAATATTTAGCATTTTTCCCTGTATAGTGCAAAATAAAAAAAACCATGGTGATTAAATACCACCAAAATAAAGCTGTCTTTAAAAAAAAAAAATATATATATATATATATATATATATATATATATATATCATATTATTTGTGGTACCATGTTGTATGACTAATAGTTATTCATAGTGTCAGTGTGACAGTGCTGAAATCTGAAAAATGGCCTGGGCAGGAAGGGGGTGAAAGTTTGGTCCTGAAGTGGTTAAAAGAGAAGTGTTTTTTTTGTCCCCCCCTCCCCAAAATTATACTTGCCTAGGTGGATGCAGCATCGGTCCGATGATGCATCTGTCTCCCGCCGGCTCTAATCGTAATCTCGGCGATCACATGAACCCTGATCGCGGTGTTATCGCAGCCACTCTGAATAGAGAGCACTAACTGTCAGTCACCACTGTCTGCAGGCTTCAGCCCACTGTCAACTGAAAACAGGTGACCGGAGTGCAGAACGACCTGCACTCCTGTGACCCATAGGAGAAGTACAGCCAAAAGATCTTTGGCTGTGCTTCTCCTTTCATTGATGTCCTGCTTCCTGAACAATGATAAAAATGTGTTTGTCAGTTCTATGACAGTGACACTTTACATATGTGGACACTTTTCTTAAATATTCAACATTTGTAAAATCTAATTAGGATTTTTTTTTTGTGATGTTGTAATGATATTCACTAAATTTTGGGGTTACAGGTTTTTAACCTTATTCTTGCATTTTCTTTTTCCTATTAACAGAAATCCAGTTCCTCTACTACTACAAATGAAAAGATAACAAAACTGTATGAATTGGGTGGAGAACCAGAGAGAAAAATGTGGGTGGATCGTTACCTTTCATTCACAGAGGAGAAGGCAATGGGCATGACCAACTTACCAGCTGTGGGCAGGAAACCCCTTGATTTGTACCGTCTCTACATGTCTGTCAAGGACATTGGGGGACTTACCCAGGTTAGGCATGTTTCTTCATTTAATGCCATGTTCTTCTTGGATTTTTGTTCTGATGCATCTCTAATTACTTTCTTTGCTCTCAGGTTAATAAGAACAAGAAGTGGAGAGAGCTTGCAACAAATTTAAATGTGGGTACATCAAGTAGTGCAGCTAGTTCCCTAAAGAAGCAATATATACAATGTCTGTATGCTTTTGAGTGCAAAATTGAAAGGGGAGAGGACCCACCACCTGATATATTTGCTTCAGCAGAAGCAAAGAAACAGGCAAAAATTCAACCACCATCTCCTGGTAAGGGCATATGTCATTGCTTGTTTTAAAGAAGTTTTTTTTGTTGCCATGGGAAACATCGTCTTCTAATATCGCATCTTGATTACATTTAGCTGGCTCAGGCTCTATGCAGGGACCACAGACTCCTCAGTCCACTAGCAGCTCTATGGCAGAAGGAGGGGATCTGAAGCCTCCCACACCAGCATCCACGCCTCATAGTCAGATGCCTCCCATGCCAGGCATGAGGTGAGCTTTCGTAGTGGTTCTAAATATGGGTCATAATTGTACCAGAAACAATACCTATTCCCTCCAACTTCTAATGACCTTGCCTGTCCTTTTTTGAATTTTCATTTTTGCTTTTTTTTCTTCTACCTTCCTAGGAATAATTCGGTAGGTCTCCAGGATGCATATGATGGATCAGATCCTTCTTACCAGAAACGAAACTCGATGACTCCTAATCCTGGATATCAGGCAGACATGATGGGCAGAATGCCCTATGAGACAAATAAGGATCCCTATGGCGGAATGAGAAAAGGTAGGTGACAAATTCTTTTTATTAGACTTCTGCATTAGAAGTATTTTTGCATTAAAAAATATCTCCTTTCTCAGGAACAGATCCTTTCATGTCATCTGGGCAAGGACCCAGCGGAGCAATGGGAGATCCATATAGTCGAGCACCTGGTCCAGCTATGTCAAACATGGCACAGCGCCAGCATTATCCTTATAGCGGTTATGATAGAGTGAGGTGCGTATTTTTTTTGACTGAAAAAAATTTTAATTTTTCTATTGTGCATTGAGGGTCACAGGATTCTTAAACAACTGGGTTATGCTGGGGACAGTTCACTAAATGTGACCACCATATATTGCATGCGATACTGAAAATGTAATTTCACCATCACTAGAATGTGGTATTTACCATAAATGGCAAAAGCTCTCAGTAAATACTGCATTATAACACCTTAGTTAATTCACAGAAGGAAATAATTAAATGCATGCGGTAATTTAGTGGTCGAGTCATGTAGATTGTCTTGTTAAGGAGCAGGCGGCCGCCATGTCCTTAATCGATGAGTCAATGTAAAAAAAAAAATAAATCACCAGCCATTAAGAAAAGTCCTTAAATAAAAAAAAACAAAATTCCCCTAATGTAGATCCATTGTCAATCCAAAAAGTCCCCTGTCCGCAGAACCCCACAACCACTCCCCAGGGTTGTGGGGTAAAGACCCTTGTCAAGTTGTCACCCTGCCCCAAAGTACACCATCCCCCCCCAACCGGGATGCTCAGATAAGGATCTGGTGTGGATTTAGGGGGGACCCTTGTTACATTACCGCATGCTTTCACTACTAAAATACCACATGACTTAATTGTCCCCACTGTGACTTTTCTTTGGTCATTTGCTAAGGGATTCTGTCCAGGTCCAGAGCTGTGGCATGCCTTTTGTCTGATTTGCCTCCTTTTGTATGAGTAGACTGTGCAGACTTAGTGCTGTTGAGTTCACGTTGGTGAAGCCGTCACAAATGCAAAAAGTGTTAACTCGGCCAGGATAGGCACGGTGTCGAGCCACGGCTCAGTGGTGTGTGACTGGACACACTGAACAGCAGATGCCCCCATAACAAGCTGCTTGCTATGGGTGCACCTGATAGGAGGAGGGGCCAGGAGGGCCTGCGGGAGACCTAGGAAAAGGAGGATCTAGGCTGCTTGCTCTCTGTGAAAACCCCTGCAGAGTGCAGGTAAGAATGATGTGTTTAAAAAAAGAAAATTAAGCCTTTAATATCCACCTGACTTGGCTCTTTCACCTAACTCTCCTCTGAATCTGTTGGCCTTGAGTATGGTTTCCACTTGCCCAGGTTATGTTAGTATCCCTGGAGGGCACTATGAAGCACATCGAGTTGTGGTTTTACTGCTTTTTTTTGTTCTTACTAGCCTGACTGCTGAACAGTAGAACTTCCTGCAAGAAGCAAGATGAGAGGCTGCCCATTAAAGATTTACACTTATTTGGACCATCCTTGAATGGCTTTATTGAGAAAATGACTATGGGGGAAGAGCGCATTCTTTTACCCCTTAAGAAGAAGGTGGCAGGTCTTAAACTGGTGACACCTTCAGAGTCCAAGAAGTGTTATTTTTGTAAGCAGCCAACATCAGGCTCCAGACCAAAGCCTACTTCGCAGAAGAACTGGGCCCCCAAGTCCTATGGTTTCAGAGGCAATCATCCTCTCAGTGTAGGGGCACCCACACAGGAGGGGGCTGAACATCTACGGGCCTTTGCTGTCTTTTAGACGCAGGAAATCAGATGGCTGCTGGAAATACTGTTGTTCCAGAAGGTCTCACAGGTTCTAATTAACCTGTTCGCGGTTCCCAGGCCAAACGAAGGGAGCTTCCTGTCAGTGAACATCATTAATTTTCTTGCCTTATCAACCATTTTTGTATTTTGCAATGGAGGAGAGGCAGAGATGCCAAAGTAATTGGCAGGTCGATTTTTCTCAGCAGCTGAATCTGAGAGAATGGGCTTTTCAACTGGAAGTGTTCAGAGATTTTTCTGAGATGGGGGAAGCTGGATCTCTTGGCATCCAGATAAAACAAGCTGGACCGAGATTGTGTCCTAAACCGTGGTTTCTCTGGCCCTTGCGGTAATTGCCCTGGTGACTGCAAGGCATCAGTTTTTTCTGATTTGTGCCTTCCCTCCACTCCACCTCTTTCCTCGTCTGTTGCACAGGATAAGATGGAGGGTGTCCCGATAATTCTGGCTTGGCCAAGAAGATTGTGATTTGCAGACATCCTAAAACTCTTGGTAGATGAGCCATGGGCTCCTCAGACCATCAAGAATTGCTGTCGCAGGGCCTAATCTTTGATGTTGCTTTACAGTCTCTGGCTTTGACCGCATGACTGCTTAAAGCCCAAGTCTTGAGGGACAAGGTTATTTGTGATTGAGGAAAGTGTACCATCATACATGAAAGGTTTATTTCACTTGGTGTGAATCCCATAGGTTTCACCCCCAACAGTATGTCGTGGGGCATATTTTGGCGTGCCTTCAGTCAAGTTTGGAGGTATTTGTTAACCTTGAGTACCATTAAGGGACAAGCTTCGGCCTTGCTTTTTCAGAGGCCCATTAAATCTCATTTCTTGGTTAAAGGCTAAGCTTACTTTAGTAACATGTTACACCCTAAATATGGATGTAACATAAAGTAAACTTAGCCTTTAATGAAGGAATGACCTGCCTACACACCCAGATCTCCCGGACGGGAGTTTTTCTCTGCAGGCAGTGTCTGCAAGAGCCTGACATTACACCTACTATCTGCTGATCAGGTGCAATGCTGTGCAGGCTCCTGAGAAATAATGCACACATTTTTTGGTACCTTCAAAATCATTTTTAAGCTTTAACTTATCCTGGGTGCTAGACAGGTTGTTCCTCCTGTGCAGCCCATGTTTCCACGGGACCTTAATTTTGATCTGGTCTCTTTTGTATTCTCCTTGATTATTCAGTAAAACCCAATTAACCCATTAGATGGTAGCTAAAATATCCCTTATTCCAGCTTACACAACTGGACACAACCTTTTGTTCACAGGAGCCACAAGCATTATACTTCACACTGTCTCCCGTTTCTCGGCAGACTTGCCAACTACTGTTTCTGCTGCTGAGTTATTTGCAGATCCGCTGTTTGATCTTTAACCAGAGGACTTGCAGGCTTTGCAGTCACTCCCAAAATAACTTGTGTCTTTTTATTGATGCAGTACTTGCTTATATTGCAAGATCAGCCTTTTGTTGCTACTTAACATGTCAGGGCTGGACTCCTACAAGTCATGCCTGTTTGTTAAGGTTTTCTTGACCCACTGTTGACTTTATCTACAAGACTTGGAAAAACCCTCATGTAGGGTATGTCTCCCTCTGAAGTGTTTTTTTCCTTTACCATATAGTGGAGGATTTTATCAAAGAAATGGTCAACACCTCTTGAGGTACAACTCTCCTATATTTTGCATAAACAAGACCACAACTATTCTGGTGGAGGAGACTTCTTTCTAGGCTCCACATTGTCAAAAAGCTGGAAGCCATTGCTTTGTCTGCATTATTTTGCTGGATATGCTGAACATTGTTTTGATTTTGACAATATTGGCCTGACCCTTTCTTACTGGCCCTATATCTGGGATGCATTGTTTGGCCACGAGTTGTTGTTATTATACAGGATTTTATATAAAGAAAAACAGTTTGCTCAGCGCTTTACAATATAACAGGAGACAATACAGCAACAATAAAGTTCAATACAAGAGGGATAGGAGGGCCCTGCTCCTTGGAGCTTACAATCTAGGAGAGTTAGTAAATTACAACGACCCAATGACTCTTATGCTGAACTTCATGTCGTTTGACATTGTCCTTGACGCTCGTCGCTTGCATTTTGCATATCAGTCTTATGTGCGCATGAACAGATGTGCAGAACATTTTAGTTCAGTGTTTGGACTGCGGAGCAAGTCTTTTCTTTGTATGCACTTTGTGATGGTCTTTGATACTACACTATGAAAGTCACTGGTGGTAATAAGGGCTCATCTCCCTTAAAGTGGAACTTTAGATTGAAAATTAAAAATGGGTGAACAGGCAGGAGTTTTAATGCAGAAAAGACATGCTTTGTGTCTTCTGTATTACAGCTACCTGCCTGTCCACCCCTGCACAGTGAGCCGCGCATAGGTATTATACAAATTTGGCAATGCCAAATTTGACGGAACTCCCTCACGTGCGAGGGAGTGATGTCATCCCTGCCCGGAGTTCGGGACCTGGAAGCCAGATGCCCAAAGATGTCAGCTGCCAGGCAGGGAGCTCCAGGACAGGGCATAGCATGTACGGAGGTGAGTAAAGTTCCGATTTAAGTTTGAGAGGTTAGAGTCAACCTTGTAATGTTGCGCTATCTTTTCTAACCCAACCCACAGCAATTCTTTTGTACCCCCGTGACTACCTCTGTGTAATGGCTAGCTCGCCTACGTTTGCTACTGCAAAGAAAAAGGCTGGCAGCCCAAGGGAGCCAGATCTGCAGAAAAGTCTTCTGTGGCATGAAGGTGTACACGCCTTCATTTCAGGGTTTAGTGAAGTTTCCTGGATCAGCTGTCAGCTCAGAGCAAACGGACCCAGGTATAGACCAAGCTCACCATCAGCATTTTAGAAATCAGAAAAATTTAGAAAAATCCATTTTTCTCCTCTTAATTGCATGGCTCTCCTCACTGATTGCTTGATACAATCCAGGTACAATGGGACAAGGCCATTTCCTACATCATTTGCCAAGGCAGGACTAAGAGCTCTTCAGATACATGACAGGTTGCTCTGATCTTGGATTGGGCAGTACCGCATGTTCCAGCCTAGCCAGCAGTTCACATTCCAAGAATCAACAACTGGCAGGTGGACTATCTCAGTCATCCATGCCTAAATCAAGGAGAATGTGCCCTTCATTTGGAGGTCTTTCATCAGATTTGCCTTTGCTGGGGCACTCCTGATGTGGACCTGTTTTCTTCCAGGCCTATTTGGAAGGATCCCAGATTGTGGTCAGAACAAATGATCCTTCGGCCAGCACAGTGGATCTAGTAGCTGGACAAGTACATTCTTCTCTATTCCAGTGCTCTGTTTGCAGATCTTGTTCAGCCGGTCGCCGTTATGCCCTTGTGCCTTCCACTTCACCCAAACCTCCTATCCCAAGGTCCCACTTTAGTCGCTGGCTTTAATGGCATGACTGTTGAATTCCACCATGTTTTGAACCCAGAAGTCCGCCTTCTACTGTACCTGGAAAGCTTGCTTCCCTGATGCGAATCACTGTTTTTATCCTTGCAGATTTTATGTAGCTCAAGTCCCGACTTTCCTCCAACATGGCATAGACTGATGTCTGACATTAAGTACCATAAGACATCAGTCCTATTTCAACACCCATTGGCCTCTGTATTTGGTCCATACTTTCCTTCAGGGGATTGCCCTGGTTTTCCCCCCTTCCATTGAAGAAATTGCCTTAACGCTATTTCACAAGGTGGCTTTTTAAGTAGCCATTCCCTCAGCCAGCAGGGTGTCGGAGCTAGCTGCTTTTTCTTGTATGCAACCATTTTTAGCTCTTTATCAGAATAAGGTGGTTTTCCGATCATCTGTTCACAGAAGATTGATGTTGCCGCCTCTGCTGATGTTTTGGTTAGTGTTTTACAAGCTGCACTTTGAGTTTAAGTTTGGTTCTTGCCCAGTTCTGAATGACCCTGATCTCGGGCACTGCTTTGGTACGTCCAAGTAATCTCCTGATTTGATTTTGTCCTTCAGTGAACAAAAGAGAAATTGAGACTTTTGTACTCGCCGTGAAATCTTTTTCATTGAATCACACAGCACCCGCACATCATTATTTGGTTCTCGGTGTTTGCTAATACTGCTGGTTACTAACTGAATGTATATTATGGATAAAGGGTTGGACACCAGCAGGGGATGCCCCTGGTTTGTGTTTTAACCTTTTGCCTGTACCCAGCTTCCTACTCTTGCAGGTGGTGCAATAAGCCAGTGGTCTACAGATTTGGCTGTGTCCTTCAATGGACTGAGAGAAATTGTAACGGTAGTACAAAAATCGAATTTTCTCAACCCGCAGTGTCTGGGCCCAGTAGAGTGTCATTACCTCTGTTATTTAGGGGCACCTGAGGATTACCTGGCATCTGATTTCCACAACAAGCTGAACAAGTATGTCTTCAAGTCCAACGATTAGCTGGCAGAGGCAGTGTGTTGGTTCCGTGGGATATTTATGCATTTCCTCAGATGAATTTGTCTCCATTTTCTCCATAGGATAGGACTGAAGAACATTCCAGTGATACAGCCCAATATTGGTGTTATGCTAACTTTGTGTGGTTACTCTTCCAGACTGCCCCCCCCCCCCCTTTCCTTTTTTAAAAGCGAGCAGTTTTTAGGCATTTTCGTTATTGGCCTCTTAGGTCTGTTAGGCTGCCAGCTCGTCTGTTCACACTTTTTTTTTTTTCCCTGCCAGTGTTGTTTTTTTTTGCAAAGTGTTGTAGGTGGTTCGATGTTGTCTAGGTTTTTGTTGGACCTTTTAGACTGTTTTGACTGCCTTTCTTTATTGGACAGCTTTTGAATGTCCTTAATTAAGAATCCTGTGTCTCTCAATGGACTCTGAGAATGGCATTTTTTTAAGGTAAGTAAAAAAAAATTAAACAGCCTTTTGAAATTTTTTTGCTTCTGTAGGCCAGAACCTGGTCTTGGTCCAGAAGGGAATATGGCAAGTGGAGGGACTCAACCAAATATGATGCCTTCCAACACAGACAGTGGCATGTACTCTCCTGGACGTTACCCACAGCAGAGGTGAGAGAAAGGTTAACAGCAACATGGTAAAAATACATAGTGGGTGTTCTCAAAAGTGGAATAGTGAAGTACATTTTTTGTTCCTTCTGCAGGCATGACACTTACAGTAACCAGTATCCCACACAGGGTACATCATCTGGAAGTCCCTATCCAAGTCAGCAGAATCCAATGTATCAGCAACAGGTAATTTCAACTTGCTTACTTACTATGTAATTACCATATGGTGGTGATTTTTCACTTTGTGTTGCCTTTCACTTAACATCCCTTCTTTTGTATGATCAGCTTATGCTTATTGCTACTAAGATTTTCTCTAAATAGTCTACTCATAAGTTAAAGGTCTAGTGGACTGATTCAGCATCTGGCTTTTAGTAACTTTGTCAAATGGTGAGATCTTCTTGCAATATATTCTGATTCTGTTTTTGTCCAACCAGGAATTGTGGGTGTGCTCAACCACTTTCAAAGGCACCCACTTATAAATGGCCGTAGTGAGTGTGTAGGTCTTTCACCATTAGGGTCTCCAAAAGATGGATAGGCTTGACTATTAAGTGAATGTCCAGTTCTGCTTTGAAATAGAAATATAGGAATATAAAAAAATATATATATATTTATACTCCCCTAGGTGGATGCACTATTGGTGCGTGCTGTTGCAGGGGGTGGGAGCGGCTGGCTTAGGCTCTCAGCGGCACGCTGATTGGCTGAGCCATCTGCTCCAAGGCATTTGGGTGGATCCTGCTGGACCAGCTGAATGACCTCAGCTAACAGCGGATGTTAGCCTGCTGTTGGCTGAATACAGGTCACAGGAGTGCATTTTTTGGCCCTACATGTACTTTAATTCCTGCTTTAAATATATCTATTTTTGGCAGATGTTTCTAAAATAGGCCAAATGTTTGTAAAAATCTAGTGTTTACTGTAATCTGTCCTTGATTATACAACTCTTTATAAGGCTTGCCATTCTGATTTTTGAAGCCTGCTGCACTTTGTGTGACTGCACTTTTGCTAAGGTCTATCCATTTGTTTTATTCTAAAATATATTTTTAAACTTGTTCACTTTCCTTTTTAAAATATCTGGGTTTTTTCACCCCCCTAAACTCATTTGACCCATTTACCTCCACTTGTCCTAAATACATTTGAGATGCTGATAATTGTGTGTGGTTTGTTGGTTTGTTTTCTAATAGAACTATAAGAGGCCAATGGATGGTAGCTATGGACCATCTTCTAAACGCCATGAAGGAGAAATATACAGTGCTTCATATGCTGGACCACAGAGTGTACAAGGTCAACCACAGGCACAACCTCAGCAACAACAGACACCTGGGTCTGGAGTTCCACCACCTCCTGGACAGCCCTCTCCAGCTCCTAGCTCACAGCAGACACAGGATCCCTATGGGCAATATGGGAGCAATTATCCACAAGGTGCTGGGGAGCGCAGGCCACCACCCTCTGGGCAGAATCAATTCCCTTTTCAGTTTGGTCGTGAAAGAGTGCCTGCAGCACCAGGCAATAACTCACAGCCCCCTCTGCCTCCTAGTGGAATGGCAGGATCTTCAGAGACGTCACAACCTGGGGCCATATGGCAAGGTCGAGGTGAGATCGGTTATAACTACCAGGGCAGACCTGGTCCACCTACATCCAGTACACAAGGACCTAACTACCATTCTGTACCACCCCGTGGTGAAGAAATGCTGCTTTCAGAACAGCGACTCAGTCACGAAGGTCAGTGGCAACCTCATGTCAACAGGCAGCAGCCACCTTATGTGCCTGCCGCTGGCCCACCGCTAGCCAGACCACCACCACAGTCAGGTTACCAGGCCTCCCCAAGCATGCCTAACCATCTGCCTCAGGTAGCAAGTCCAGCCCACCCCTCGGCCTCTGGAAGCCCACACCTCACCCAGCAAATCTCCTTTCTTGAAGATGCAGAAAGCTGGACCACCTGTGCCTGCATCCCACATTGTGCCCACCCCTTCTCAGCCACCACTCATCCGCAGGGATATAACTTTCCCTCCTGGTTCTGTGGAAGCCACACCGCCCATACTAAAGCCAAGGAGGAGACTGACTTCAAAAGAGATTGGTAAGTGGTTTGGTAAAGGTGAATACATTTTATGGTTTATGGATGTAAATTTATAAAATGGTCTGATAACTCTTAAGAGCCTGTCAGATTTTTATTTTTCTTGTTCCTGTTGAATTTGTATGTAGTTAGCCTTTTACTAACATTGTTATATGGTTTTGTTAAGAACAATGGTTCCAAGGTTAGCATTACAGGGACTAAGTGATAGCTCTGCCATTTAAAATGGAACTAAATACAACATTAATCTTGCAAATAGGCAGGCGATTTATCGCAGAAGAGTTATGCAATATCTTTTTTGCAATTAAATAAACCTATTTGCCTGCTTGCAGTCTTGTGTGACTTGTAAACTGAGCTGCGCATGTGCTGCTTAGTTTATATCTCTGGAGCACTCTGTATATCTGGATGACTGACTCCTGTGCATGCACAGAAGGTGTGTCATCCTGCATCGCCCAAGCAAAATGGCCAGAGAACGGCACCTGGAAGAAGCTGGGGAAAAGATGCCATGAAATGACTCCTTGTGGACTTCATACCATTGTAAAGGAGGTAAGTATGGTGATTTTATTTCTGCTTTAGCCCCCACAGCCCATTTTGAGGAACCCCCCCACAAAACGAGTTTTTCTTAGGATGTTGTATACACTTCATCTTCTGACCAAACCAACCACAAAATCTGAAAAGACAGTTCAAATTTAAAGTAAATGTAAGCTGCAATTGGTTGCTTCTGAAAATGGTATCTGCCTTGTTGTCATGCTGATGCTTTGGCAGTAATCTGAAACTGTATTGGAATAAGGAATTTTTACTGTAATTTTCTTAATGGACATTCTCAGTAATTTAGGTGTATTGACATGAGACACATTCAGTGGAACAGCATTTCAGACTATCAATGACCGCCCCCATATTTCTCTCTAAGCAGGTGTACTTTTACTTGACCAGCAGCAACCATTTTGTTGAAAATGTTGTAGCCAAAAATACCTAGTAAAAAGTGGTTGATTACTTGCTTTCTGGCAGGTGAAAGATTGGCTCTTGAAAAAGGAGAAACGCTGCTGCCACCTGACACATCTGTAGCATTCATCAGGGAAAATGCTATCTGACAGGCCCAGAAGTGTCAGATGGCAAGTATAGTATTCTTAACTCACTAAGTTAGTAAGAGATTTCACTTTCTGCGTGTATTTCGCTTCTTTTTTTTGTTTGTTTTTTTTGCGACTGGATTGTTAATAAAAGACAGGTGTCCTTTAAAACAAACTTTAGAAGCCTGTTCATTACTGTAGTTTATGATGCTAGAACAGGTACAGAGAAGAGCATCTAATTCTAGTGCTGCAGAATTCTAAGATTTAGATAAGCAACAGTTCTTAAAGAAGTTAGAGGTTAAAAAAAAACTATTTAGTGCCTATTTTGTAGCCCTATTCTAAGTACCTGATGGTAATTAGGACATATTGGATTTATGGATTTATAAATTATACAGTTACATAGTTTATAAGGTCCAAAAAGATACCAGTCCATCCAGTTCAACTTTTGTATGTGTGTGATTATTTTCTAATTCCCATGGCCTTGTATAGTCTGCTTCCGGAGTGGGGGGTTGATATTTCCAACTAGTATCCCTTTCTAGGTGTGTGTATGTATATTCAGTTGTTGCAATGCTCTGTTTTATTTTAATGTTTTCATAATTTTTCAGGTACACCTGAGGCTTGGCGTGTGATGATGTCTCTGAAGTCTGGTCTACTGGCAGAAAGTACTTGGGCACTGGATACTATCAATATTCTGCTTTATGATGACAACAGCATAATGACATTTAACCTTAGCCAGGTGAGATTACATGTCTGCAGAACATTTTATAAATGTTTTCTCTATCTACATTTTTTAGACTTTTGTACCCTAATTCACACCTTTTTACTTCTAGCTGCCTGGATTGCTAGAGCTGCTGGTGGAATACTTTAGACGCTGCCTAATTGAGATCTTTGGGATCCTCCGCGAGTATGAAGTTGGAGAGCCTGGGCAAAAGAACCTGCTCGGCCCTACCTCTCGAAACTCTCAAAGCCCACTCATAAGTGATGTTGAATATAGTGATGGAGAAGGCTGCCAGTCACTTAATGATGATGACCTCCAAAGTGAGGATGAAGGAGACGAGGAAAGGAAAGCCTTCATGGCTCCTTGTGTAGACAGTGAGGATACCCAGCGGCATGCAAGCAAGTTTGACAAACTCCCAATCAAGGTTGTACAGCGGGAAGATGCTTTTGTGTTGGACTGTTCTCACCGGTTGGGTCGTAGACAAGAATTTGATAGTGGCCTCTTGCACTGGCAAATAGGAGGGGGTGATACAACAGAACACATCCAGACTCACTTTGAGAGGCGGCCTGATCCCCCTGTTCGTAAACGCTCCCAGGGAAAACGCCGATCGCGAGAACAAGTAACTGGGGCAGAGGACACTGCTCCTACCATAGATGATGTTCTGTGTTCCAGGTCAAGTTCTTTGCCATCAGAAGAGGGGGAAAATCCTGAGGAGGACACAGAATTTACATTAGGTGGTAGTCCCCCACCTCGCAACAGACATGGTCTTAAAATTCTGGAAGATGAACCACGTAGTAAAGATGAAACCCCTTTGTGCACACTGGAAGATTGGCAAGATGCTCTTTCTCGTCGTTGCGTGTGCATATCGAACATCCTTCGCAGCTTGTCTTTTGTGCCAGGCAATGACTTGGAAATGTCCAAGCACCCAGGGTTGCTGCTGATTCTTGGGAAACTAGTTTTGCTCCATCATAAGCACCCAGAACGGAAACAAGCACCTCTTACTTATGAAAAAGAGGAAGAGAGGGATCAAGGCGTTAGCAGCAACAAGGCTGAATGGTGGTGGGACTGTTTGGAAATGTTGCGTGAGAACACGCTGGTCACTCTTGCCAACATCTCTGGTCAGCTGGACCTTTCCCCTTACCCCGAGAGCATTTGTCTACCCATTCTTGATGGTCTGCTACACTGGGCAGTTTGTCCATCAGCGGAAGCGCAGGACCCGTTTGTAACCTTGGGTCCCAATGCAGTACTTTCACCCCAAAGACTGGTACTGGAAGCACTGAGCAAACTGAGTATTCAAGACAGCAATGTGGACCTAATATTAGCTACACCACCTTTCAGTCGTCTTGAGAAGCTCTATGGAACCTTGGTGAGGTTCTTAAGTGACAGAAAAAACCACGTGTGCAGGGAAATGGCAGTTGTGCTTTTGGCAAACTTGGCACAGGGGGATAGTTTAGCAGCAAGGTCTATTGCCCTACAGAAAGGCAGCATTGGTAACCTATTAGGTTTTCTTGAAGATAGTCTGGCGGCCACCCAGTTTCAACAGAGTCAGGCTGCACACTTACATGGACCCTCTGCTCCCTTCGAGCCCACCAGTACGGACATGATGAGACGAGCCTCACGTGCCCTGCTGGCTTTGGCCAAGGTTGAGGAAAATCACTCAGAGTTCACGCTGTATGAGTCCCGTCTGCTGGACATCTCGGTGTCTCCACTAATGAACTGCTCTGTGTCACAGGTCATCTGCGATGTCCTCTTTTTGATTGGTCAGTCATGACGGCTACAGTGGACATCTTTCCAGATAGTTTGCTCCTCTCATCACAGTAGAATGAAATCCTCCCTGACTGTTGATTCCTTTCCCTTTTCTTCCCATCCTCCCTTTTTATTTATGCAAAAACTATGTTTCAATCCACTGTCTGCCCCAGAGAGGAGATCTGGTCACCGTTGTGGACCTCCCCTACCCTTTCTCTTCCTCTCTGTGTTTTGGTGAGAACCAAAGCTACTGTATTTCGGTGAATATTTTTTCCTTTTTTTTTATTTTTTTTGCTAAATTGGGGGAATGGGTTCCACTGTACTTAATTACCCTCCCCCACCTTTACTGTTTGTTGGCCCCCTGCAACAGCCAAGGGACGGGCTCCATATTCTAAGGAGTTAAAGACTTTTACACCACCAAGAAAGGAGAAGAATTTCCTCCTATACTTAAAAAAAAAAAAAAACAAAAAAAAAAAAAAAAAAACTTACCCTTCTCACCTTGCAATCTTTAGAATAGAGTTTGTGTGCCCTGTACCTTTAAACAGAGAAGAAAACGTAAAAAAAAAGTCCCGAAAAGACATTACCTTTTTAAACTGTGCTGAGAAACCCTGCAGAATCCAATTGGAGCTGGAAAAAAAACCCACAACCTCAGAGACTCCAGATGTAGGTTTTTAAATGGAGAGAGCGACAAAGGTCGCTTTTAGTTTCCGGAGGAGAGACAGACGCAAAGAAGTCGCTTTTCCCCCCCCAAAGTTTCATGTGAAGCAACACCCTTACCTCTTTAAACTTAGATTGTAATAATCGGAGATCGCCTCTTATAACTGGTTTTAACCTTTAGCTTGTAGGTTGCAAGCTGCGATGTCTGTATATATATGATGATGTACATTAAAGACACACCTCTTGTATTTTCCCTCAACTTTTTCCCTCACTTAACCTTCACCACTTTCACAAGCTCTTTTCCCTGGATCTGAAGAAAAAGGGGGTCACGGTTACTTATCCCCAGTCCCCCTTTACCCTCCAGGAGGAGGAACATTTTGCAGATTGTTTGATCCAAAGAGCAACAGGCTCTCCACCATCTTTCCCTCCCTTTTGTCCCTTTGTATATCCAGCAATCCTATCAACTTTTTTTTCTTTCCATTTCCAATCAAGGTGTGAGGTTTTCATTTTTTTTTTTTTTTGTTTTTGTTTTTTTTTTTTGTTTTTTTTTAGTTTCAGTTCCAGAAACAATTTGACAATTTTTTTCCAGCGATTTCTGCATATTTGTAGCTCTGAAGAAAAATGTAAATTTCAGCCTATTCCTTTTATTTGTTTTATTTTTATTTTGCTTAATGAATATATCATTTATTCAGTATGAAATCTTTATACTCTATGTTCCCGTGTTAAAAATAAATGTACATTAAATCTTGTTAATAGAGTTGTGAAGAGATTTATTGTAAACGTGCTAAATTATGGGAAGTTGGTGTCTCGCTTAAAGACCAGCCAGTAAGCTTATTTCATCTGTGTGATCTCACAGGTGTATCCAACCGCTACACCCTGGTTAGTTCAATTTCCCAGATTCTGGCATTTGATCCAAAAATGTTTAGTTACTATTATGAGCATTTGTTTGAACTGTTCTCTTAAGTTTCCTGTTTGTAACTGGAAAAGCAATCTAGCTTCACAACTGCAAAGCAAAATGTGCAAATTGCTGTTTTAAAAAATTAAAAACAAAAAATCCTCTCGGCAGTAGTGCAATTTTGTAGGAATGGACTTATCAGGTCACGTTCATGGACTTCTATGATGCTGTTACTAGCACAAAACACCGAAGTTTTTGTTTCTCTGACCCCCCCCCCCCCCCCCCCCCCCTTCAAAATAGTTGTATTACCTGCTTACCCTGCCAATAGATGCATTATTTCTCACATTCTGTAATAGAGCAACAATGCTGTTCTGCAGTGAAATATTACATCAGCGTAGTCACTCTGTTACAGGCTTGTCTTAGATGGACATAGTTTTTTTTAAAAAGAAAGTGACAAATTAAATCTCAACTCCACCAAACCTTTTAAGCAGTTAAAGTAACGCCCTTTGTCTCGGGAGAAAAGGTTTAAGCCATTTGTATGAATGCTGACCATTGTATGCACCACAATCCTTGTTTAAGCACTTGTCACAACCCTGTAATAGAAAATTTTGGTGGTCAGTTTGGCCATTTGAATGGTATAGAAAAGTAAGGAATCAACTGAGGGGATCAATGGTTAAAACTGATTGGGAGATGGGAATGCCATATTAATGCTATCTGTATCATGTTGATTTTGCCTATAGCTCCACTTAACCTGCTAACTGTTTCAAAGAGGAAATGCGCTGTATTTTCTGAGTGCATATTTTGAATTGTTGCATCATTTACCTTAAAGTAATCTTTATTATATTTTACAAGCTTTCTTCTACAGTTTTGTTATGTATAAATATAGAAATGTTCAGATTGACCACTAGAATGGGCTCATGGTGGCCCAGTGTAATTACTTTTTCAGTGTTGGAGAGATCAGCCACATAGTAGGGTGAATCTGGTAAATCACTTTTCAAAGAATACTCTTAACTTGCAAGGGAAATTTTTAAAAATATAGATTATTTGGTTGTAATTGGCAGAACATGCAAGGGAACATTTGTTCAACTCAGTAAATAAGGCAAAGGAAAATGTATTTGGCTATGTGAACAGCCTATACTCCACTTATTTGTTCCCTTTTGGGCTGTTAAAACAATGTTTCCAATTACATATTTACCTGTTTGAGAACAGCAAAACAAGTTTATCTTGTCAAATGCAGAGCTGCCTGTGTTCTCTGTACACTTCCTTTGCAATCTGTCCATTTAGCCCCTCTAGTTATACCCTTAGAAACCGCCTGCATGTATTTAAATTGGGCCCTCATTCTTCCTCTACTCTTAAGCTAGGTGCTAGCTATCTGCTGTTAAGCCTTGTACATCTGATTGTACTGCATGTCACTTACAATACTGACATTACATTTGCAGCAGATACTGTGGTCAAGGGGATGAGGTCACCTATAGAGAAACTATTTAGAAGCTGGTTGGGTGGTGTTTGGCAAATTTTAACATTAAATATTAAACTAAATTGTATTACAGCAAGTGCGAGGCAGATTTGGCTCCATTGTATAAATATAGAGATTGTGTGAATATGGTTTTAAAATTTTTGTGGATTTATATTTGTGATGACTTGTCTTGGTATGCCAATACTCTAGCAGTTATCAAAGCCCAGCAGTGACTGCACTTTCTTCATGTGCTCAGGAAGCATGAAATTGATAGAAAACTGTTAGCATCTTTTTACTGTTCCTCTTTTAAAAGCATAATAACAGCACTGTTTGTCAGTCTGGTACACTGGTTGTTTGGCAGCGGACAAGAGGGCACTTCAGAAAGTTAAAACTGAAGTTCAGTGTTTTTACACCATAGATGGTACATGAATTGTGTCCCGTGTGCTCGTGGCTGCAGTGTTCTTCGAAATCTTCAGTCTACTGAACCCCAGGTATTACCGCAGCTGTGATCTTCTGATGCTGCTGGGGTTAATGGCTGCATATGTCACAGGCAGTCGTCAAAAGTGTGGACTAAGCCCCTTGCACCCCCGCACACACAGTGAATTAATCTACTTGTTCTCCATTCTTTCATTTTTAGAACTGATTGTGCTTTTCATTTTTAGAACTGATTGTACAGCTTCTATAAATGGCACAGGGGGCAGAAAGGCCGGGCATAGTCTACACTTTTGAACTTTTGACAAATGCCTGTGACAGGTATAGAACCCCATATTAACTTCTGCAGCACCAGTGGATCACAGCTGTGGGGATATCCATAGGGCAGAGGACTGAAGATTTCAAGGAACACGCTAGCCACCTGCAAGTGGAACACTCATCTACGTGACTACTGTCCCTGGTTCTGATTTAACCATTTGCCCTCCATCCATGCAAAGCAGTGTGCACAGGAGCTGACAGGGGAGAGAACTGTAATGCTTACAAACAATTCCCCAACCCAGTTGAGGCCACGAATGGCAGCGCGGGTAGGGCGCGTGCATGGCTCCTACGTGGAACTGCACAATCACGTGTGTATGTGTATGTATGTATATATATATATATATATATATATATATGTGTGTGTGATTTTGCTCACCCATGCTGCCCTGTAGCAGTACTTCTGCTATAGGGTGGACGGGAAACAGTTTAAAAAAAAAAAAAAATCCCTAAGCTTTATTACTGTACTAGAAATTATTGGTCATCAGCTAAGCTATCTTCATATTTTTTACACCTGCTGTTTATAGTTGCAAATCCATTTTGCAGGATTCCATGCATTCGGGGTGTTTGAATTGATGCCAGGACAAGTGGTATAAAACTAAAGTACAGATACTTACACTTACCTTTTTTTCCCCATGGTTATAAATGTATTGTGCGATAACAAAACTGAATTTGTTCCCCTACAGATTTGGAAGCAGTTTTAAAAAGGGTGGGACATAGTGGGTTGATAACTTACATGAATATTTTTACATTGAGGCTGGTATGCTTGTTATTTATGTACATTATTACTCCTTTTTATTTTACTATATGTTGTGTTTCAAGCACTGATTTCAGTAGTATACATTTCATTGTATTTTAGTACAATGATAAACGCTTTCAGTTCCATTACAGGGGGTTGTTTCTAGCCTGATTGCATGCATTGTGCACTGCCCCTAGAGGATTAGCCTGCTGTTCAGGGCTACAGTCTTCTAGAGCTCTCACAGCAGTCATTCTTCTAAGGATTGGAAACACCCTGTAGGATCCTTTGTCCCACCTGTGAGTGTTGGAGCTTTTCCCTTTTTAAGAGGGAAATTGACTTCTGTAGGTGGCCGGAGATCCATGTTAACAGGCATACTACCAGACAGGTTAATGATGCTCTCCCTTTTGTTATTTCACTGACACACTTAAAGTACAAGTCCAAACAAATCTAACTAAGCTTAAAGGATAAGTTCACCTTTGGGAACATGTTCCACCCATTTTTAGGGTGAAACATGTAACCTGTTCCCAATGCTGCAGCCGCTGCCTGATTCCCCCCCACTCCAGTGACAGAAGTACAGGAAGAAGCTATAGCTTTTTAAAATCTGCGGGGGGCTCCGCCCACATGGCTGCATCATTCGTTCTGTGAATGAATGAACTACAAGTCCCGACAGCTTTAGTGGCTGTCGACTTGTAGTTCTCAATGAACTACCATGGCAAGAGCACCTTGGTAGTCCATTGATTCTTCCTGTCGGTACCCTATGCTAACTATCCTGTAAAAGAATGTTGTCTGTACTTTAATCTTCGGACATTCTGGTCCAGTCACATGATCTCCCCAGGGACTGGCTTCAGTGGAGAGGAGAGAGCAGCAGCAATTGCTGCAGAGCCTGGGTAGTGATGTAACCCGCATACCCACTTGCTATGTGGCATCCGTTGTCTGCCTTCCCTCCTCTAAACTGAAGCCAGCGCTGGGACCTGGTCATGTGATCGGACCCGAGTGCCCTTAGATTTGGCAAGTATGAGCATCTTTCCTTTACAGGGTAGTTAGCATAGCGCTTAGAATGGGGGTGCGAGTAGGTTTAAGTTGGCTGGCTTCTACTTTAAAATCCTTTCTCTGGGTCACTGTGACTATGCAATTGTACGATCAACTTTGGATTTACCAAAACTATGTAATATGAAGTGAATGTGACTCTTTACACCTGAGTTCTATAGACCATACACCCCAGCAGCTGATCAGATGTCTCCCTAGAAATCCTCTAAATGTGCACAATTACCAAGATGCAGCACTAAAATTTAGGTAAGTAATAATGCGGGACAATGTGTAAAGAAATCCATACCTATATCTTCTGAGGCAAACATTAGTATAAACTTTTTATAAAGTGCAACAATAATTAAAAACCTTAGTGCCCCAATCCTATCGAGGTGCAATAAACATAAACAGACATTAGTGAATATACTATATACCAAGACCAATTTTCATTGCAAACAAGTCCAGTAAATGTCCAATGTAAGCAGTACCAGTGACCAGAGTACATTCCAAAGATCAGAAATGTCACATGCTGAATCCCACCAATGCATTTTAGCCCAAAAATTCTATTTCGTCCCACCATGTCTACATGTCTAATTTAGCATGCCATACCCTGGACTCAATCTCATTTCTTGTTTGCACATCTGGCACTTTACCCATTGTGACACTGCCAGTGATGCTGGGTGGGACTGTTGTTATTTCCACTCTTTGGAATGCATGCTTGCACTCAGACCGAAATGGTGGAACACTGTTCACACACTAAAGACTAAGCTGGTTATCCTGGGTGCCAGGTCAGGCACTACAGTATGTGAGTGTTATGGGTTTAGGATTTTATGCAATTTTAATGAACATTGTGAAGCAATGAAAGCCCTTCCTATCTCCTTGCATATTAACCAGTGTGGAAGTGGACTCCTACATCCTGCCAATAACCACAAGCCCATGTAGACTTACTTATTAAGTTCAGGGGTCAACATATTAAGGGAGTGCATTAGAACTAGGGGCAAGAAAGAGCAAGCACCACAAGGATGCTTACTGGGACACTGTCACATTTCATTGTGTATTGCCACATCGCTACTCTGTTAGAGCCCTCTGTTAGTAAACACAGGGCTCTGAACTGTCATTCGGTAAGTTGATCAGCAGGTCCTGGCCAAAAGTAATTGCCTGGGACCTGCTGATCAGCTTGTGCTGTACCGAATAATGGCACAGGGTGAGCACGAGCGCAATTCCCCCCAGAAATGCTGGATCATGTACGTGATCTGGCGTGGGGGGGCACTCTGCCACTGATAATCTGTGGTAAACAGTCGTGAAGTGGTTAACACTTTGTTAAAAATGCATAAAGTCCTAAAACCATAACACACATATTGTAGTGCCTGTCCTAGCACCCAGGATAACCAGCTTAATCTTTAGTGTGTGAGCGCCGCTCCACCATTTCACTCCGGGTGCGAGCGTGCGTTCCAAAGTATGAAAATTACATCACGAACCAAAGCTCCACTTAACATCTCTAGAGGTGGCATAGAGGGGAAAGTGGTAGGTGTGCAAACAGAAGGCATGAGAGAGAATCCACATTGTGACACGCTAAACTAGATATGGGAATAAATTGTGGGACCAAATTAAATCTTGGGCTAACATTTTTAAGCAAGGCATTTGCTCGTGACATTTCCACACTTTGGAACACACTGGTCACTGGAACTGCTTATATTTTACATTTGTTCACTGGACTTGTTTGCAATGAAAATTGGTCTTGGTGTATAGCGCATTCATTAATGTGGAGTACAGCGGGTAAAATAAGTACTGAATACGTCACCGTTTTTCTAGGTAAATATATTTCTAAATGTGTGATTGTAATGAAATTTTCACCACGTCTGTAACAACCCATGCAATCCATATATACAAAACCCAAAACAAATAAGTTCGGAAATTAAGTTGTGCAATACAATGGAATGGCACAGGGGAAAAGTATTGAACAAGCTAACTGAAATTTGTTTTAATACATCGTACAAAATCCTTTGTTGGTAATGACAGCTTCAAGACGACTCCTATATGGAGAAGCTAATAGCATGCATTGCTCAGGTGTGATTTTGGCCCATTCTTCCACACAAACAATCTTCAAATCTCGAAGATTCTGTGGGTCTCTTCTGTGAACTTTGATCTTTAGTTCTTTCAATATATTTTCTATAATACTTTATAGTAGGTGCACATCATTGAGATTCTTTGTATACTAAAGGATAAGTTCACCTTTCGTAACATGTTAAACCCAACCTTTGCGGCTATTGGCTTGTAGTTCTCAATGAACTACCACATCTCTGTTGAGCTATGGTAGGCCATTGATTCTTCCTGTCAGTGTGTAGCTAATTGTCTGTACGAGCACACAGAAACACTGACAGATCTGCAGGAGTCCTGCATGGCACCATCGAACATGCCTTTAACCACTTGCCTACTGAGCACTTTCACCCCCTTCCTGCCCAGGCCAATTTTCAGCTTTCAGCGCTGTCGCACTTTGAATAATTGCGTGGTCATGCAACACTGTACCCCTATGAAATTTGTATCTTTTTTTTGAGTCAGATTTTTCTTTTGGTGGTATTTAATCACTACTGGGTTTTTGTTTTTTTTTATAAACAAACCAAAAACAACTGTAAATTTTGAAAAAAAAACCCATTTTTTTTCTTCGTTTCTGTTATAAAATTTTGTAAATGAGTAGTTTTTCTCCTTCACTGAAGTGCGCTAATAAGGCTGCAGTGATGGGCACTGATAGGCGGCACTGATCGGCACTGATGAGGAGGCACTGGTAGGTGGCACTGATGGGCATTTACCGGCATCACTGGTGGGCATTCACAGAAATCACTGATGAGCACTGAAAGGCAGTACTCATATATGGCACTCATAGGCGGCAGTGACGGGCACTGGCAGCACTCGTAGGTGGCACTGACTGGCACTGATAGTTGGCACTGAAAGACAGCTCAGATGGGTACTGATATGTGGTATTGATGTGCACTGGTAGGCATTGATATGTGGCATTGATGGACACTGACAGGTGGCACTGATGGAGCTACACTAATCAGGGCACTGATAGTGCCCTGATGATCAGTGTAGATGTCCCCTCTGAGGAATGCTGATTACCGGCTGTCCTCTCCTCAGGAGCTGTCAGCGTGACAGCTTGCGAGGGAGAGAAATGCCGATAACCGGCACTTCCTTATTTGCATGCGATTAGCTGTGATTGGACACACCGTGCTCCCATCATTTCTTTATATGGCGGGCGGGAGGCGGTTAAGTGGTTCTAAAGGCTCAAGGATTTATACCTTCATGCTGCAGCCCCCATAAAATTCACTTAAGCCCCCTCTCGATCCAGTGACTTGCACTGTAGTCTTGGCTATCCTGGGACTCCCTCTCCTCATTGGCTGAGACAGAAGTGGGAGCCATTGGCTTCCACTGCTGTCAATCACAGCCAGTGAGCCAGTGGGAAGAGAGGGTGGGGCTGAGCCACGGCTCCGTGTGTGAATGGATACACAGAGAAGTGGGTGCCCCTATAGCAAGCTGCTTGCTGTGGGGGCACCCAACAGAAGGGAAGGGCCAGGAGTGCTGGCAGGGGACCCAATCAGAGAAGGATCTGGGCTGCTCTGTGCAAGACATGTTTGGTATTTAAAACTTAAAAAAAAAGACTTTGGCATTACTTTAACCACTAGCCTACAGGGCACTTATACCCCCTTCCTGCCCAGGCCAATTTCCAGCTTTCAGCGCTGTCACACTTTGAATGAAAATTGTGCGGTCATGCAACACTGTACCCATATGAAATTTTTATCATTTTTTTGTGACAGATAGAGCTTTATTTTGGTGGTATTTAATCACCTCTTGGTTTTTTATTTTTTCTTAAACCAAAAGCCACTGAAAATTTTGAAAAAAAAATGTTTTTTAGTTTTTGTAAATAAGTGATTTTTCTCCTTCACTGATGTGCGCTAATGAGGCTGCACTGATGGACACTGATAGGTGGCACTGATGAGGCACTGGTAGGTGGCACTGATGGGCATTGACAGGCATCACTGATGGGCACTGAAAGGCGACACTGATAGGCGGCACTGACTGGCACTGTTACGGGCGGCACTGATAGGCGGCACTGACTGGCACTGATAGGTGGCACTGATTGGCAGCACTGATAGGTGGCACTGATGATTGACACTGAAAGGCAGCTCAGATGGGCACTGATATGTGGCATTGATGTGCACTGATATGTGGCACAGATGGGCACTGGCATAAGGCACTGATGGACACTGACTGGTGGCACTGCTGGGGCTACACTGATCATCAGTGCCCTGATGATCAGTGTACATGTCCCCTCTGCGGAAAGCCGATTACCGGCTCTCCTCTCGAGCTGTCAGCGTGACAGCTCGAGAGGAGAGAAATGCCGATAACCGGCATTTCCCTGTTTACATGTGATCAGCTGTGATTGGACACAGCTGATCACATGACCGAGCCGACATCTTCGGCTCTTTCCGTGATCGGGGATCCGCTGTGTCCGAGGGACACAGCGGATCGCCGCGCATGCGCGCTCCCTGGGGCCGCGCATGCGCAGTGAGAATGGGAGGACGTCATATGACGTCCTCCCAGAACAAGAGAACCACCTTGCGCCCGTCATTGTGCTATGTGGCGGGCGGGAGGTGGTTAAGGTTCATATATTAGCATTATTTCACTTTATAACAGGTTAACAAAAGGTTTCATACATATTAAGATTTATTTCAATACCATTGGGACACTTTAATGTTTTTTTTAATTAATATTGCACTATATAACAGGCTTATACTAATAAGGTTTCTTGTAAATTAAGGTTCATCTCAATAGTATTGGGGTATATATTTGACACACAGTCCCACATTAATACTTATATTTTAGCACTGCATCTTGGTAATTTCACACATTATGTAATATGAAGACCTACCTAATCTGTTCAATCAGTTTTTATCTGGTCCAGCAGACCCTTGCACTACATAGTTGTTGCTAGATCTAAACAAGATTGTAATGGGTGTGGTTAGCTTTCAATCCCAGTTGGAATTAAATGCAATGTGCATGTTAGTAACAACTGGATGTCAATTTGTGTCACAATTGTAGCTAAGAGGATCCCTCCATTACTGGTGTATGTCCCAGTTTCATAGAGTGGTTGGAGCAAATGTCTGGTGCCTTGTTCTTTAGTTGTCATGGCTTGTTATAAGTGTCTAAACTCGTTTCTTACATGGGGTTGATGTGCGTGTAAGTGCATTGGCCATTCTGGCTGGGACAACGATGATATGGCTTGAGAATATCTGGCTGTTACCCTTTGAGGATGTTGTTCCTTCGGACTTGCTCCTGACACCATCATTAGCGATGCCGCTGGTGTTTAGAGCGCCCCCAGTGTCTGTGGAAGGGGCAGAGAAGCTGCATCCTTCTTCTTCTTTTTTTTTTTTTTTTTTTTTTTTTTTTTTTATAGAAGTAGTACCACATAAGCAGAGCCTCTTACTCCCTCTGTTCAGCCTTCTGCATGAAGGTGCATCCCCACTTCCACAAGTGGGAAGCTTTTTGTTCATCCAGCTGGGTATTTGGGTAGATAACTATCATGGCTTTCGGATGCTCACATCACCTCTGTTTCCTTCAGCCTTGAATCAGGTATATTCTTTAGCTGCCCCTCTTTACCCTTCTGATGTTACAGCATTTAATTGTGTGTGTTCGCAACAGTCTGGAGTTTGTGTACCAGTTTGCTACAGTATACCCTGTTCTCTGCCACTCTTTGTGCAGTTGGTGCTCGATTACCCTAAAGGTAATTTTTCTATCCATTTTGGCATTATGCTGTGAGGGCTCTCACAATCATTGTTTTCTTGTTGCTAGGTCGGTTGTCTGATCAGGCAACCTCTTTCACCATAGATCCTTCTTTTCCAGATTGCCAAGGGGTAGGAATGCTAGCCTTGAGCTTTCTGTTGTTCACCAGATGGTCATCAGGCTAATTTAAAGAAAAAAAAAAGTTTTTTTCCCTGTTGACCACATCTCGTTATTTGGTTTTGTTTCTTTCCTTTTGAGTAGTCCATTTTTCTTCTGTGTTTGGTGTACTGGGTAGCTTGCTGGTGGGAGCCCATTGTTCAAGTTGCAGCTTCTGCTTGATGGTGATTCAGTTTCCTGTTCTTGGGCACCATGTTGAAGATTCCTCTAAAATGCAGATGCCTTGGGCCTTTCAGTGGCTGTTATCACACCCCTTGCTCGGATTGCTTTTTGTACCTTCTGTGTATGTACTGCTCTGTCTCCCAATACAAGATACAGGTTTTTTTTCTATCATGCAGGACACAAGAATCTGTTCATAGACAATGGGTTAGAAGCTGCTTCGGTCAGGTGATTAGACAATGGTAAAAGCTTTGCTGGGTCTGTCCTTTGTTGTCCCCATATAGCCCGCCCTCTCTGAACCTTTTTTCTTTTTTTTTTCCTTAGCTGATGAACGTCCTTTCTTTTGTAGAAGAATTTCACAATATTTTTACCAGATTTTACCACCAAGATTTGCCTTGGTTCAAATTACTTGGCTAGCTAGCAGTTTCCATATTGGTGACCACTGAGTACACCTTGGGAACTGTACCTTGACCCTGCAGCAAAACAGGGCTGGTCTGTAATGTTTGCTTTGGACCCTGGATCCTACGTTTGAGACATTTACCTTGGCACTTGATGCAATGAGCGTAGTTAGCCGCAGGGTGCTGTACAGGTCCAACACTGTGGTCCTATTCCAAAGACACCCAGACCCTGAAGACCCCTTTGGAGGTTATGGGCAAAGCTTGGACAAGACCAGTAACATGGACAAAGTAGGACAGGGTTTTCCTGTACCCATATACATGTTGCAGGCTTTACATGTATTGATGGCTCTGTAGTATACACTGCACCCTTATTCTACAAGACATTCTGGAACGCTATGTACACAAATGGTTCATAGGACACAAGTGTAAGGGGACTTTGAACTCTTAGTGTTTTTTCCTAACGTTTCTCACTTTTCAGCCTGGTGCGAAAAATGTTATAGGATTTACCAATTTGGATGTTTTCCACCTCCCAACCAGAGATTCCTTTCTGGTAAGTGACTTAGTGTTTATAAGATTCCTAGCTGTGCTCATCAGGCCACCATTTTTCTTCGGACAACTTAAGCTAATCATTTGCCACTATCCTGTTGCCGGGTTCCACAAACACACTAATTGGAACTCATTTGGCACCTGGGTTTCCACAACTTCATACTGAACTGACGCTGACTGAACCCCCTAATCCACATCTATTCCATGAGTACCCTGCAGGGAAAGATCCACGTAGGATATGTAAAGGTTCTTGAGAGCAGAAACACACAGGACAAAGCTGTAAATCTGCTGCCGGCCCTGAGGAAACTCTAAGTTCTCTAGCTAATGGTTCTGTCATTCCTGAGCATGGTCTAAGACCAACACTGCTCAAGCCACCTGACTCAAGCTCCTTTACAGGCATGCAACATAGGACCTGTTTGAATAAGGCAGAATGTACTTCCATTGTGTATGACTTATTTCAATGGCTGTCACCATTTCCATAATAAGAGGCCATCACCTTCAATAGCTCTTTTTACCTTTGTTTTTTTTATAACTATAATTCTACCCTAAAACCAGACACACTTCTCATGCCACAAACCAAAGGGGTTGACATTCTAGTGGAGGCACCTCAGGATTTTTCTCCACCGCAATTTAGGGAAGTTATTTCCTTACCCCCACGTCAAATGTTGGCTATTGTGTATTCATTGATCGAGGCAGTGCATACTAGTCTTTGGATAGATACGGCTAGCGCTGCACAGCCCCTGTACATTCAGAAATACTCTAGAAAGGGCCATTTGTAGAAAGGCCTTTCTTACTTTTGGTCAGGCAGGTTGGGCCTTATGCAGTGCAAAAAGAACAACAAGCAGGGCGCCAGGTCAGTGTAGATAAGAGCAATAATACTTTATTGCAAAGAAAACTTCTTAAAATCCCTCAGCAAGTATGGCAGATAAAGGGCATCGGAGCCAGGGACATCAAATGAGCTGATTCGATGAAATATGCATGGCCCGGAAGGAGACCCGCAGTAATGGATGAACGGCGTCTCTGGATGTCTTCCCCGCCGGGCAGTGACAGTTGCTGTGAATGGAACAAAGGGCGGGCTGCAATGCTTTTCAGAAGCTCCGCCTCCTTTTTCAAGCAAGCCCGCTGTATAAGCTGTAAAATCAAGGGTAAGAGAAGGGGGGAGGAGTGTGCAGGAACAGGGACCGCTTGTGTTCTCCGTAGATTATGGGATACAGCAAGGGAGACCACGCAGAATACATACACTCCTTTTATTTCTTAATTATTTTGCTCCTTTACTTAATTTTGTTCACAATTTGATACCATGAATTTATTTTATTTATAATTATTTCCATCTTCTGTGTGAGCGCTGAAAGTTGCTCATTTATTAATGATAATCTCTTATGCTAATGTGTGTTCTCCTGGGGAATATTTCAGCTGCACCACTTATTAGATGGATAATGTTAAATAATTTTTGTCTCACAGGGACAATCGGTTCCAAAATTTGTTCTCCAATACCCTTGCCCCCATCCCCTCTCCCCCATGTGCTGTTAACTGTCATGTTCCTCCATCAAATACACCTCCACATAGTGCCTAAACTGAGCTCCATATTTGGAAATTATTCTACAAGTTAGAGGACCTATTAGTATCTGAATATCAGCAGTGGTGGGACATCACCTTCCTCCAGAAATATGTGGAACTGAAACTCGCCCCTAGAGAGCTTAGAATCTACAAGGGCTGTGACTTTCTAGACACAGATCTCATTAATGAATGGATATACAGTGGGGATCGAAAGTTTGGGCACCCCAGCTAAAAATTTGTATTAATGTGCATAAAGAAGCCAAGGAAAGATGGAAAAATCTCCAAAAGGCATCAAATTACAGATTAGACATTCTTATAATATGTCAACAAAAGTTAGATTTTATTTATATCATTTACACTTTCAAAATAACAGAAAACAAAAAAATGGCATCTGCAAAAGTTTGGGCACCCTGCAGAATTTATAGCATGCACTGCCCCCTTTGCAAAGCTGAGGCCTGCCAGTGTCATGGATTGTTCTCAATCATCATCTGGGAAGACCAGGTTATGTCAATCTCAAAAGTTTTAAATGCCCAGACTCATCTGACCTTGCCCCAACAATCAGCACCATGGGTTCTTCTAAGCAGTTGTCTAGAAAACTGAAACTGAAAATAGTTGACGCTCACAAAGCTGGAGAAGGCTATAAGAAGATAGCAAAGTGTTTTCAGATGTCAATATCCTCTGTTCGGAATGTAATTAAGAAATGGCAGTCATCAGGAACAGTGGAAGTTAAGCAAGATCCGGAAGACCAAGAAAAATATCAGACAGAACAGCTCGCAGGATTGTGAGAAAAACAATTCAAAACCCATGTTTGACTGCACGATCCCTCCAGAAAGATCTGGCAGACACTGGAGTTGTGGTACACTAT